TTATTCTCCTTATGGAAAATGAGTACAACCCTGTAACATCGATTTATTAACATAGATGGAACCTCAGATCTGCATTATGCTACTGTGCTGTTTATCCTCAGACCTAGGAGGATTTGTGTCTTCACTCAATTTTATGTCCACTGAACATAAATTGTTCTTTTTGTTTATCCTTGTTGTATTACACGAATGTATAAATGTCTGTACTACAGGAAGGAAATGTTTCATTTTAACACATTATTTCCCTGAATTTAATGCTTTGTTTTGTTGTTGGTTTCCTTTTATTTGATCACATTACTTCCTCAATTCCATATTCCTTCCTAATGGTCTCCATACTTCTGCTTCATCTTGCTGAGGATAAGAAACCTCCAGATAGTTGCTCTTTGTGCCTGGTTGTATTACTGTCTCAGCTGTAGGGGATGTTTTATTCATTCAGCTTTTCCTGTTTTAGAGACTTTCCCTATAGCCTCATGTTCATAGTTGTCCTGTCTTAGCTGGGAATATAGATGCATATAACTATAGCTATTTCTCAGTTGTCAAATGTTTGTATTTTAGCCACTTAGCTTTTATTTTTCAATACCATAGCTACCTATCTCTTAATAATTTGTTTTTATGGAAGTTCAAGCACTGTCTGTTAATTTAGAAAGTAAAGCTATTTCATTGCTTTTGTATTTGCTTTGATTCCTTGTAGGTTGATAACTGTCCTTGTTTCTCTGAATCTGGGACTTCCACTAGGTTTAGACTTAGAGCCTAAAAGTTAGAGTTGTCCCAGAAATACCAGTACAGTTAGTTATTAGTTGACAGTTGCCTGGTCCTTGTTTATTTTCTGCTTAGATTTCCTGCTTTTCTATTTTATTTTATTTTTTTGGTGTATGTGTGAAGGGGTTTCCTCTTACATGATCCTGTTCTTTTTGTCTTTGGTTTTCTCTTTCATTCTATTGGTAGCTTTCCATAGTTTCATCTTCCAATCTGTTGACTTTTTTTTCCCCTACACTCCAGCCCATGCATTTACTGTATTATTTTCAAGAGGCTATTGTGTTAGGATTCATTTTTTTTCCCTATATGGAATCCTATATTTGGTTTATTGACATTTGTTTCTTGACTATAGTAGTAGTTTTCCATGCTAGAATATTTTCTTTTTCTAACTTAAATGTATGTATGTTTGCTAGTGTTTGGATTTGTTTGAAACTGGGAACTTTTCAGTGTCTGGTGGTTGTGATTGTCACTTCATAGTCAAGTGTAAGATGCATGCAAAAATCTAATTTTTAATCTGTGAGCACATGAATTAGGTTTGACTGAGATTTACTGCCTAATGATTGGTTGGACTGTTTATTCTGTAATAAAACCTCATCTGTTACTATTTTTAGCTTTCTTTTTCTTGTGCTGGTAAAATTCCACGGGGAAGATTTGAAACTCCTGTCTGAAAGTAAAGGTGTGTCAAACTTTTGAGAAACTTGAACTGAGAAGAGTTCTGGGGTGTGGTGTAGGACTATGACATTTATTTTTAAATGGCTGCTTTAATCAAAGATTTCTGTAATTTACATGGTGTAAGATACATCAATCCTGTGTTTCCTGGGTCTAGAAAGTTGCTCAGCTTTACAAATTGGTAATACATAGGAAATCTGTAATCTGGGTCTGGAAATTGGGTAGCTTCATAAACTTACCATCATTTAATATTTGGTTTTAACCCCCAAATTGCCCCCAGAGGTTCTTGGCACCATCAGTTCCTGAGTTTTTAGTGTCTGTAGACTCAGTTCTAATTGATTGTTATCTCAATTTTCTGCCTTTAGCATTTTGGATTGCAGTCCCTAATGTTTGCTTTTCACTTGGAAAACTGAGTTGTGATCTTAGCTTTCATTCTTACCATCTTTGTCAATGTTTCTTTTTGTTTTTTTAATTGGGTGGAGGGTTCAAGACTGTGTGTGCGCGCACACGCCTGTGTACGTATGTGCATGCATGTCTGTCTTTCCCTGGATGTCAGATTTTTCTTTTAATGGATATTTTGGTGGCATTTTTTTGAAGTGTAGAATTCAGTGCATGTTTTTTTTGTCTTTTTTTAAATCCAGAAGGCAGGTGTTTTTGCTATGTAGGTACACATGCTTTCCTGGGTTTTCATGATACTAGGCATCCTCCCCTCCCCGGTCCTCCCCTCTTCCCTTCCCCTGTCCTGTCCTATCCTGTCCTCCTCTCTCCTCCCCTCCTCTGTCCTCTCCTCTCTCCCCTCCTCTCCCCTGCCCCCTTCCTCCTTCCCTCCCTCTCTCCCTTTTGTTTTTTGGATGTGGGGAAGTGAGACTGGGTATTTTTGCTTTTGGGGTGTGTGTGTGTGTGTGTGTGTGTGTGTGTGGCTTTGTATATTAGGATATGGGGAAGCAAGACTGGGTATTTTTGTTTTAGGTAGAGGTGTGTGTGTGTGTCTGGCTGGCTGGCTTTGTATACTAGGCTGACCTGGAACTCAGATCTACCTACCTCTGCCTCCAGAGTGCTGGAGTTTAAGAAGGCATGGCTTTCCTTTTTTTTCAGTTACTATCTATCTATCTATCTATCTATCTATCTATCTATCTATCTATCACTATCATGTTATGTAGAAAGAAACATGTAACATGACATTATTAATAATCTCAGCAGTTATTTTTGTTGTTTTATTTTTAAAGACAGGGTTTCTCTGTAGCCCTGGATGTCCTGGAACTCAATATGTAAAGCAGGATGGTCTCAAACTCAGAGGTCTGTCTGCCTCTGCCTCCCAGTCATAGATTCAAAGAGTGCACCACCACCTCCTGTTTCTTAATAGATTTTTAAAAATTATTATTTTTATTTGCATTGGAGTTTTGCCTGTATATGCTGTGTCAGATCTTAGAGTTACAGACAGTTGTTAGCTGCCATGTGGGTATTAGGAATTGAACCCAAGTACTCTTAACTGCTGAGCCATCTCTCCAACCCCTTAACGGACTTTTTGTTTTTATTATAAGTGAAAATTGTTTTGCTAATTTTTCTCTATATATTGTATATTTATCATCCCTTTCTGCTTGATTTTTGAGTGCTTTTGATTTGAGACAGTGTCTCCTGTAACTGAGACTGGAGGTAATCTTGAAATAAAATTCTCTTCTCTGAGATAGGCTTTCTTGCAGCCCAGGCTAATCTTGAACGTAATCCTCCTATTTCTACCCCCAAGTGCAAGGTTATCGAATGTTTCGCACATGACTGGATTTTTTTTTTTTTAAATACTGACTAAATATGCCGTCAGCTCTATTGTGGTGTGCACTTCTGTTGTGTCTCCTGTGACTGAGATGTCAAGACAAAGACTGAATAGAGTAGAAAGCATATGTGTGTGATTATGGGAAAATTAACCAAAAAGCAAATGGAAATTTCAGGAATTCTCAAGCCAGTCTTACCAGTTATAGTGTTCTGATTCTTGTGCATTCACTTTGTATCTAGTTATTCTTCCACAAAGGTTATATAGAAATAAAAAAAAAATCTATGAAGCTTGGCTTATTATCAGTATCACTCTTGCCATTGAGTTTTATTTTTATAGAGCAATTTTATTTGAAGACTCAATATTCATCAATTTTTCTAATTATGTAGAGATAATCTATTTGAATGAGCAGTAATTTTAGCTTAAAAAAGATGGAGATAATCTAATATACTATTTTTTAAAATTTATGTGTATGTTGTATATGTAAATGCACAAGGAATGTGGGAATATGAGCCTGTGGGGATTAGAAGAAGGGTTTCCTGGAACTGGAGATACAGGTGGTTGTGTTAGGACCTAAATTTGGATTGTTGGCAAGAACAGTAAGCTTTCTTGATTTCTGAGTCATCTCTCTAGTCCCCTAGACATCTAGAATTAGTTTTTTAATCTATTCTCTTCCAGTCCCTTTATTGGTGCTTTAAGAATAGCCAGGCATGGTAGTAGTGTGGTGCACTTTAATCTCAGCACTGGAAGACAAGGCAAATATCAGACCAACTGGAGCTACATCATGAGATTCTGTCTTTGCCCCTTCCCCCACTCCCCCTACATAGTAGAAAAATTTGATCTTAAAAAGTTAAGTACAAGCTGGGCATTGGTGGCATGCACCTTTAATCCCATCACTCAGGAGGCAGAGAGTGTGAGATCTCTCTGAGTTCAAGGCCTGGCCGGTCCACAGAGCAAGTTCTAGGGCAGATTTTAAAGCAATAACAGAGAAACCCTGTCTTGAAAAATTTCTTTATCTCTCTGTGTGTGTTCTCTGAATTTGGAGTCCTTTCACAATTGAAGTTCTTTGGTTAAACAGAGCCTACCACCTAGTATACTATCACACATTGTACCATTGTTTGTTGTGAAGAGAGGGGTTGGTAGGTAGGTGCTGTCATAGTAGCCTCTTCATTTAAAAATCAATAAAAATACCTCTTGATTATTAAAACTCTAGTAGTAGCAACTATTGGTATAAAGGCATTAGTAGTTGGCTTTCAGAATAATTGTAAGGTGTACTGGGTTGATTTCTTCCTAATTCTGTTATAAAAAATATCAGTCATTCCATTAGTCTTTAGCTCCATGCTCATGGCATAAATGAAGTACTGTTTTGCATTGTCTATGTTTGTTCTTTTTTATTAGCCTTATGTAAAGTAGCCAAAATGATCAAGGGGTAGTGAGTATAAATTTAATGAGAGGGTTCTTCCCCCTCACCCTCTTGTGTAACACCCCTTGCTGTCCTGGAGCTACTCTGTAGACTAGGCTGCCTTTGAACTCACAGATTCTCCTGCCTCTGCCTCCCAAATGCTGAGACTAAAGGCATGTGCCACCACCGCCCAGCAAGATTGAACTCTTGAAGTATAGAATACTAGGGAAATTTCAGAAATTGGAGGGTAGAGGACCTGGGAAAGGCAGGACTGTGTGAAGTTTGGGTTGAGTGAGTGGACTGATCCTAAAAGATCACGAAAGAGCTGGTAGATTTTTCAAAAGCTTGATTGTCAGTTATTTCATGATAACTTAGAAAATTCAACTTTTCTGTTTTCTGTTTCCTTTGTAGGTTTAAGAAAGTCTACCAAGAAGCGCAGTGAGTCCCCACCTGCTGAGCTCCCCAGTTTGAGGAGGAGCACACGCCAAAAGACCACGGGCTCCTGTGCTAGTACCAGGTACTTAAATGCTTTTGAGTTTGTTTTCATTTCCCTTCTTTTGCTCAAGTATTTCAACTTTTATCAAAAAAATCTTTATGCATGTATTAAACTAATACCTTCCCCTCTTTCCCCTTCTCCCCTCCTCTTTTTTCTTTACACCTCTTTGCCTCTTTTTCTTCTCTGTCTTGCCTTGTCTTTTATTGTGTCCAAGATATCCTGAAACTTAGTATTTTCTTGCCCCAGTCTCTCAGGTAATGGGATCACAGGGGTATGCTACCACACCTAGCCCAGTAATGAATAGTAATGTAATTTACATATTAAATAAAACTTAAGGAATAAGTTGACATAACTTTATTCAAAATTAAAAATCTGGTGACTTTTTTTCTAGAAAGGAGTGTGTGTGTATTTCCCCTTCTTTCTCTCCTCCCCCCCCCCCCCCCCCTTTTCCCTGGCTGTCCTAGAACTTGCTTTGCAGGCTAGGCTGGTCACAAACTCAAAGATCCTCCTTCCTCTGGAGTCTGGGATTAGCTACATATGTGGCCTGGCTCTCCCCCCCTCCCCCAAGCCAACAATAGCAACAACAAAACCTCTTTTCCTAAGTAGGTCAGTGTGGTTGAGTTGAGTTGAGTAATCCTAGCACTTGGAGGAAGGGGCAAATAGATCCCTGATTTTGAATTGAAGCTTGATTGGTCTATAGAGCTAGTTCCAGGATAACAAGGGCCACATAGAGTGACCCTATCACATAACAAATGAATAAAAAATAACAACATGAAAGCTGGACTTTTCATCGTCAATACTTCAAAGGAGTAACACAAACCATGTTACTTTTTGATGCATTCATACCCTTTCCTCCTTTTTTTCAAAACATTTGTAGTTATTACCAGTATCTAGACATTAGTCCAAGCTAGACTCTAGTAGTCATATTTCTATTAGTTAAAGGCAAGACTGGTTTACATAGTGAGTTCCAGGCCACCCAAGACTACATAGTGAGATGCCAGCTCAGAAAAGAAAAAAAAGGTACACTCATACTCTGCCAAATAGATCTCTAGTGAACATCTTTTGTGCAGATGTGACTTAGTTTAAAGAAAGGTGAACTTTTCCAGTGATGTGATTGATGAATCAAAAGGATGCCTATTTTAATTATCACCAGGTGTGATGATAGTCCCAGTAGTTGGAGGCAGGGGCAGGCAGATCTCTGAGTTTGTGGTCAGCCTTGTCTACAAAGAAAGTTCCAAGATAGCTGGGGCTGTTAACCGTAGAAACCCTGTATTGACCCCCCCCCCCCGAAAAACCCCAAATCAAAATGAGGTGGGGGGGGAAGAGAGTGAGGAGAGAGAACACAAATGAGTCAGTGCAAACCATTTTGAACAATCATGTAGGTGCTAGAAACTAAACCTAAACTAGGGTTCTTAACTACTGAGCCATCTCTCTGTCTGCCCCATGCTCCTCTTTTGAGTTTGAGACAAGGTCTCACTCTGTAGCTCTGAGTGGGTTAAAGGTAAGTGCCACCATCCTTGCTATTTATTTAGTAGTCAAATATCAACTCTTTAAAATGTTGTTTCTTCTAGGAAATGCAGTAATGGATCACTGATTTTTAGCCTGACTTATTTCAGTTCAGACTTTAAACTGTCAGATATTTGAATGGCATTTGATTCTTCACTAAGACAATAAGACAGTCAGTTTTCAATTTGATCATGTGCAATTGTTAATGATGACATAAGGAAAGAAGTTGACTTATTTATTTATTTATTTATAAAATGAGATGGGGTCTCTCTTTTTAACCCTGGCTGTCTTAGAATTCACTATGTAGATCAGGCTGGCCTCAAACCTAAAGATCTTTGTGCCTCTGCTTTCTGAGTACTGAGTTAAAAGATGTGTGCCACCACGCCCAGATAAAATATGAATTCTTCATAGCCTGAGACAAAAGACTTAAGTTCCTTGGCCTCCACACACATTTTCTTCATATTGCTTTTAAATTACTTAGAATTAGTATAACTGAATATATTTGAGGTTTCTTAGTGATACCTTTGAGGATTTGAAAGAAAATAATTGAGTTCTACAGTGCTTTGGGCCAAGTTTTCAACCTTTAAAAAATATTGAAAAAATAGTTTTCTAAAACCATGTACATTTATTGATAAGTGGAGGTGCTTTTATGGGGCCGAAGCTGACAGATTCTCTGGAGTTGGAGTTATAGGAGTAATTAGCAATTTGTGAGTGTCCCCTTGTAGTTTCTGGAAACTCAGAATTGATCTCTAGAAGAGTTGTATGTTCTCTTTACTGTGGAGCACCTCCTCCCCTTTCAGTCTTACCAAAGGGTTATAGTATGTGAAGTCAGACTCACTTTGTGTTCCTAGACAGTCCAAAACATTTTAGCCTTAGGTTTTATTATTTCTAAGTTAAGTCAAGGAGCTGCTTTTTATATTGTAACATTGGATCACCCTTTTACATAATTTGCCTACTGTTTACTAGATAGAAGTAGGTCATTATCAATAAAATTAATTTGCTTTATGAAAAAGACGTGATTATTTCCTATAGTGTCCTGTTCTGTCCCTATGTCCTTGAAACAGGCCTCCTGGTAGTTACCTTTGTTGTTTGCATTGTTAGGACATTTCATTTTAGATGATTTTGGTAATTTGACATAGAATATGGCGTGATATCTCTGTCCTTTTTGATCCTACTGTTGTCACTGTCAATTCTTAAGCCTTTGTCTATTGTCTATGTTTGGAAGTGAGTTTGTATTTTAAATGTGTGGTTTTTCCTCTCCTCTAGGAGGATCCACTTTTCCATTTATCTGGAAGTGTTTAAAAATCATGTCTGTCTGTAAAGATAACAGCTCCCAGTAACACAAAAGCTTGTACTGTGTGTGTGAGCTGTAACTAACTTGGAAGAATTACAGATAAACAAAGTCTTAGTGATTTTTCTATAGCAACTTTTATTTAAAAGGGAGAAGAAACTGGCTTTGTGCTGTGTGAATTTGAGTTTTATGTTGTCTTTACATTGTTCCTCATGTCTTGGTAATGCTGACTCTGATGACATTTTTCTGTTGCAGTCGGCGAGGCTCTGGCCTGGGCAAGAGAGGAGCAGCTGAGGCCCGGCGGCAAGAGAAAATGGCAGACCCTGAAAGCAATCAGGAGACAGTGAATTCCTCAGCTGCCCGGACAGATGAAGCTCCCCAAGGAGCTGCAGGTAGATTGGCATTTCTTAGCTTTAAGACACTTCTTTTCTTACAAATTTATTTTCTTCTTCCTAAGTAAGATTTAAAAAAAAAAAAAGGGAACAGAATTATATGTTATCATGAAATACTTTTTTCCCCTATTTTGTTTTATATTGTAGATTGGGTGTTTTTGATTAGTGGGTTTACTGTTATAATTATCATCCAGTTCATACATTTACTAATTACATTTAGAGGGCTGCATAGAAAGGTGTAAGTTTTCTATTTAAGGTTTTTGTATATTGACTGATGTATATGAGTTGACTAACAATTGTTATAGTGAATTTAAATTCATAATAAAAATATAGGGATGTACTTTAAATTGCCTTGTAAGTGCATGAATCTTAACTTAGTATTGTATAAACCCTAAAAATGTATTTGTTCTGAAGCTACTTTAATAATAGTATTTAGATTTTTATGGACTTTAAAAACTTTTTTCATGATAATCTTTGGATGCCCCTCCTTTTCAAAAGAGAGAATTTTCCTTTCTTTTAGCTCTAAGTATCTGTTGCCATTACCAGAATTGTAGCAAGTAAACTTTAAAAACTAAGTGTGAAATTACTCTTTCCAAACTGGGGGACTGGGGTGTGTGTGTGTGTGTGTGTGTGTGTGTGTGTGTGTGTGTGTGTGTGTGTGTGCGTGTATAAAAACCCCACTGTAATTTTCCATTTTTAATGTATATATAGTTTGTGATTATGCTACATCAAATTTAGCAACAAAGCATATATCAGCTTTTGAACAAAGCTCTTTATTTAGTATTAGAATATACAGTAGTTTTCTCTTATGCCCGTGGCTGATTATAAAACAGCTTGCTGGAAAAGGTTTGGTTACACATGGTTACTGGACTTAGCTTATGTTTATTTTGAAGCCATTACTGTCCCAATTTTTTATGAAAAATTAAGACACAGTAGATTTGTAGCATCTCTTCTACTGATTATTAAGTTTTAAAAATCTTTTATTTTTATTTGAATAGTTTTTCTTAATAATTGGTAAATATTTAGAAGAATAAATGCTATTTCATTTGCAGGCTCATTCAGGCTATTGATAATACATAGCCTCTCCTTCCCTGTGTGGAATATCACTTCCTAACTTTTTATTATTTATTTATAGTCAGAATATGATTGTGGCCATTTCTCAAATGAGTGGCAGAAATGAAATTTATGATTATATTGTTAGAGTTGACTATTACTATAATTATAACTACAACACCTGTTGACTCTGCAGATGTGGCTTTAAACATTTCCCAGATATTCCCATTGACTATTCAAAACAACCTGCTGAGGTGTGAGTTCTGTTACTGCCATTTTATAAATGAGGGAAAACTGAGGCACACATTGGTTAAGCTTTCCCAGAGTTCTAAACTAAGATGTATGACGCTTCAATCCAGGTCTTAGGAACTAAGTGCACAGTATAGTGGTGTTCTCCCTAGGGGTTAGAAGAGTTTGATTCATATGGATACATTTCAAGGTTAGAAAGGAGAAGGCCAGTTGGATTTGGTCCTTGATGCATTATCTAAGAGGATAAATGCTTCAAGGGAATGTTGTTTTATTGTCATTCATATTTGATATCAGTGTGATAGAGCCTCCCCCTCCCCCTTCCGATAGAAAACACACATGGGTGTTGACTGTTAGAGGAGCGTTAAGGTTAGTAAGCTTTGGTGGTGGATCTTTAGTGAATAGTAGAGATCACTCTGCTTTGCAGTAAAATACTTGTGGGAAAATGTGCTTCACTTTATGTGCAAAATAGAAACCAAAATTTGGCACAGAGAATACAGTTGTGATTTCAACTGTATTTTGATGTCTACCCCTTGTACAGTAGTTCTGAGTTGGTAGACTTTTCACGACAGGGAAATGGCAAGGAAAAATAGTGTTCTGGTATTCACTTTTATATCAAGACTTCTCATAACTCAAGAAATGGTCAGGGTCATATCCTAGGAAGCATTTATTCTCATGTCTAGTTGTTATTTTTCCTCTGTTCTGTCCTTGATGTCTAAACGGCAGGAAAACTCCCTCCTTCACTAAATAGGGTTGGTTGTTATATACTGTGGTGCTTTTGGCTTTAGTTATTTGTTTTTTGAAGTTATAAGTATATAAAAATAAAGGTAACAGTCTTGTAACAACAAAAGACAGGTTCTCACTATGTAACTCTGGCTGGCCTTGGTAGTCTTTGGTTTTCAACTCTTAAGAACTCTCCTGGTTTTATCTCCTAAGTGTGTTGGGACCGAAGGTGTAAGCTACCATACCCAGCACCTAGTTTCTTTCCTTTTCTTCATTTTCTCCTCTCCCCTTCTCTCTTCTCCCCCTCCTTTCCCTCCCCCCTCCCTCTTTTCTCCCTTTTCCAGGTTTTTCTCTGTAGCTTTGGAGGTTGTCCTGGAATTTAATTTGCTGCAGAGACCAGGATGGCCTTGAACTTACAGAGATCTGCTTATCTCTGCCTCCAGAGCACCGGACTTCTTTTTTTTTTTTTTTTTTTTTTTTTGAGACAGGGTTTCTCTTTTTAACTACCCTAGTTGTCCTCGAACTGGACCAGGCAGGCCTTGAACTCACAGAGATCCTTCTATCTCTGTTTCCTGAGTGCTAGAATTAAAGGCCTGCACCACCACCACTTGGAAGCACCCAGTTTTTAATGCTTCTTCTTCCTGATTACTTTTGTTTAGTGCTACACATTGTGTTAGGACTGCTATATCCAGTGATGGAGACTATAGTTCAAAACAAAACAAAAAACAAACAAACAAACAAAAACCAAAAAAAAAAAACCCCAAAAATTACACATGACATTTAGTTTCTGGCAGATAAAAATCCTTCTTTAAGGCTTCTAATGTTATTCCTCCTTTATAAGCAGTTGAAATGTGTATAAAGTATAAACTTGGCATTCTAAAGTTTTCTTAAAAATTTTTTAAGAAATGTTTTGTTTCTTTTGAGACAGGGTTTCTCTGTGTAGTTGTTGGGGCCTGTCTTGAAACTCACTCTGTAGATTAGGCTGGCCGTGAACTTACATATCTTTTTGACTCTGCCTCCTGAGTGTTGCTGTTAAAGGTTTACACCACCACCGCTCTGTATTATTTTAAAGTAAATCGAAAATCTGGGCTTTAATTTTCTGCTGATAGTCATGTTTTTATACTTTACTGTAGAGGCAGAAATGGTATGTGCTATGAATTAAGATTTTTGGCTTGAGTAATGAATTTTTGAGTTGACAGCTATTACATTTCACAAAAAGCTATCTGTTTTTGTTTTTGTTTTTTGTTTTAATTTATGTACATTGGTGTTGCCTACGTGTGTGTGTGAGGGAGTGAGATCTTGGAGTTACAGACATTTGTTAGCTGGCATGTTGGTGCTAGGAATTGAACCCCAGGCCTCTGGAAGAGCAGTCAGTGTTCTTAATGCTGAGCTATCTCTCCAGCTCTATTTTTAAGTTATTAAGGCTAGACTAGTATAAATAACTAATTTTGTAAAACAGCATGTAATGGAAGATACCGTTGGACAACTGTGTCAGACTTGGAAAGAGCTGCCAAGGGCTTGGGGAACTCAGTGCCTAAAAGCTCTTGCTGCAAAAGCTGGAAGGTATGAGTTTAGATCCCTGGTCTATAAGAAGCTGGGCTTGGTCTCTTGTGTTTACAGTGCTATAAGCCCTGTATTGACATAATCCAAAATACAGAGAAACTGTTTCAGGAGTCAGCCAGGTACTTATAGATGGACAAACCTGATGTTTTCCCTTTGTGTCCACACACAAAGATCTGACAAAAAGTTCTGCTTGTCTTCAGTGGTAGCATATTGCCACAATTAGCAATTTACACTTTTGAAAAAGAAAAGTACCTATCCTTTTTGTATAGTGTTTTGAGAGGAGGGACGATCTCTCTATTAGAGTTCACTGTAACAGAATCATAACATCTTTTTATTTTGGTTTAATACTATTACTGAGAATTGGACCTGTGCCTGGCTTATTCAAGGCAGGCAAGTCCTCTTGTCACTGACCAGGCCTCTTAAATATGTTTCAAAAGTTGTATTTCTTGGTTAATATCTTTGCAGAAATGTAATGTGATGTGTTTATTATGAAATCTATTAGAAATATAGATACCTTTTAATGATTATAGATTCTTGGGCATTTTACGTTTAATTTTGTTTGCTTCCCACATATATAAAAAAGCTACTGGAACAGACTTGGTCTTAATTGTACCTAAAACATTACTGCTTGTTTATAGGACTTAGTACAATGACTATAACTGAATTAAAAATTCTGGCTGAGGCGTGTGTTTAAGAAATATAGTTCAGAGTGTAGTAATAAAGCCTGCCTTTCTGAGTTTTGACCTGATTGCTATGTGGCATAATCACTTGAAGTCAGACAGCTTCATTTTTTCCTCTGCATGAAGGATCTCTGGGGTAGTTGTAAGGAAACATGTTGACAATTCAGCATATAAGCATTTTAATGTTTCCTTATAAGTAGCTTTGTATAGTGCAGTTTGTTTACTAGTCTTTTTATCATTTATGTTAATCTTAAAGGCTTTATCCTCAACTGTGAAATTGTTAACATTGGGCTTGTAATAGGAAAGCAACGGCAAGACAATCAAAAAATTCATATAGCTCTGTTCTCATCATTTATATTAACAAATAACTAATGGACTGAATTCTGCCTTTGAGCCACTGTTAGCTTTTTTGTTCTAATATTTAAGAATTAAAGAATCCAATGAAGTTAAAGGATATAATATGTAAAGAGGCATTTTCTAAAAATGTGGAATTGGTTGGTGACTAGCACATTGGCATCTTTTTGACAGTGTCTTATGGGGTGTGTTTGTCTGTGTCTCCCCATACCCATCTGTCCTTCCATCTGTCTGTCTGTCCCCTATGATGATGATGAGCTTGCCACCATGTCCTGCTTCAGAAGAACTTAATTTATGTCAGTCATAAACCTATGTTTTCTTGCTTTGCATTCCGTCATCCAGTAAGCAGGCTGATGGTATTGTTAATGATGTAGTCATATGTAGATTAATGCTATTTTTGAAGCTGTGTAGGTCTCAGCTTACATTTAGTGATTTAGCAGACAACTAGTTCCTCTAAGAATAGCTTTCTTCTTTGGGCAGATTTATAATATCTGCTGCTGTTAACTTAAACTGGCTTTGTTTTTTATTTGTTACATATATGTTTTCTATAGTGGAATCCTTCTGCTTCTTCTACTTTTAATTTTTGGCATCTTAGTTTCCCTCTTTCTCATACTTCAGCAATTTTTTTTTAAAGATTTTATTAGTTTTATTTTACATATCAATCCCAGTTCCCTCTCCTTTCCTTCCTCCCACCCTCCCACCCTCTTTCCCTTCTCCCCGCTAACTTGTTAACCCCCCCCCCCCACTCCACATGTAGGGTGATGCCATCCAGGAGGGGGTCATCTAAATCTGTCAAGTCATTTGAAGTAGGACTTCTCTCCTGTCTCTAGATTAAGGGAGTATCCCTCCATGGGGGATGTGCCTGCAAGGTCCTTTTGTGCACCAGGGATACACATCCTGGTTCCACTGTCTGAGGTCCCTTAGACTGCTCCTGCCTTCTAACTGAGACCCATGTTCAGGGGGTCTGAGTCAGTCCCATGCTGGCTTCCCAGCTATCTGTCTGGGGGCCCGTTAGCTCCTTCTTGTTCAGGTCAGCTGTCTCTATGTGTTTCTGCAACCTGGTCTTGTTCTCTCTCTCTCTGCTCTGGATTCTAGTTCAACTAAGTGTTTAGTTGTGGTTGTTTTTTCTGTTTCCAACAGGTACTAGATGAAGGCTCCATAATGGTGGATAAGGTAGTTGTTGATCTCATTATCAGGGAAGGGCATTTATGGTAGCCTTTCCACTGTTGCTCAAATTGTTAGTTGGAGTCAGTCTTGTAGGTCTCTAGACATTTCTTTAGGTCAGTTTTCTCTTCAAACCAATAATGGCTCCCTCTTGTATATGTCTCTCTCTCTCCCTCTCTCTCCCTCACTCTCCCTCACTCCCTCCTCTCCTGTCCTCTCCTCTCCTCCTTCCCTCTCCCCTTTCTCTCCCTCTCACTTTCGCTCTCCTGTTTTCTATTCTTCCCCTGACTCAATCTTCCTAATCCCACATGCTTTCCTCTCCTCCCCTTCTCTTTCTCCTAGTTCCCTTTCCCCTCATTGCCCCCCCCCCCACTTCCCATGTGCTCTGGAGAACTTGTCCCTCCCCCTTCTCTGAATCTAAGATCCATATCTCTTAGATTCTACCTTGTATCCAAGTTCCTCTGGCGGTGTGAATTATAGGCTGGTGATCCTTTGCTCTAGGTCTAAAATCCATATGAGCGAGTACATACCATGTTCCTCTTTTTGTGACTGGGTTACCTCATCCATGATGGTTTCTTCAAATTCCATCCACTTGCCTGCGAATTTCAAGATTCCATTGTTTTTTTCCCCTCAAAGTAGTATTCCATTGTGTAAATGTGCCACATCTTCTTTATCCATTCTTCAGTTGAGGGGCATCTAGGTTGCTTCCAGGTTCTTGCTATTACAAATAATGCTGCTATGAACATAGTTGAGCAGATGTCTTTGTTGCATGCATGTGGATCATTTGGGTATGTGCCTAAGAGGGGCATTGCTGGATCTTGTGGTAAACTAATTAGCATTTCCCTGAGGAACTGCCATACTGATCTCCAAAATGGCTGTACAAGTTTGCACTCCCACCAGCAGTGGAGGAGTGTTCCCCTTTCTCCATATCCTCTCCATCATAAGTTGTCATTGGTGTTCTAATTTTAGCCATTCTGGCAGGAGCAAGATGGTATCTCAAAGTTGTTTTGATTTTTGCATTTCCCTGATAGCTAAGGATGTTGAGCACTTTCTTAAGTGCCTTTTAGCCTTTTTGATTTCCTCTACTGAGAATTATCTCTTCAGTTCTGTACCCCATTTTTTAATAGGGTTATTTGGTGTTTTGGTGACTAATTTCTTGAGTTCTGTGTATATTTTGGAGATCAGTCCTTTGTCAGGTGTAGGATTGGTGAAAATCTTTTCCTAGTCTGTGGGCTGCCATTTGGTCTTGTCAACTATGTCCTTTGCCTTACAGAAGCTTCTAAGTTTGAGGAGGTCCCATTTATTAATTGTTGATCTCACTGTCTCTTCACAGCAATTTTTTTGCACTCATGTATTAGCTTCAGTTTGTCTTCCTTTCACTCCTAAAGGAAGAGTGTATATAATCTTTTCATACTCCTACAGTTAGAGAAAACAGATAAATGATTATTTACATTTCTGAAATAATCATTTAGACCCTGATTTGACTGATGGATGGCAGTGGACTCCAGGAGTCCAGGCTTGAAGGTTGAAATCTTATGCTTATGTTAATATAAAGAAGCTGAGCTTTCATTTTTCTCCTAAATTTTATGGGAGTATAGAATGGCTGAGTGTATAGGAAGACACATCTAATTTATTATAGTCTGTAAACTTTGGTTTTTCTTTAAGGTGGGTGTATAGGAAGACACATTTATTATATATAGTCTGTAAACTTTGGTTTTTCTTTAAGGTAAGCCAGGCATACAAGATTAAATGCTTCTCCTAATCCTTACCTTCCCCCTCTCCCCAAGCCTCTAGTTCTGTTGCAGGGGCTGTTGGCATGACCACCTCTGGGGAGAGTGAATCGGATGATTCTGAGATGGGACGATTACAAGGTAAAGATAGCTATTGAGTTTGGAAGAAATGATTACCAAAGGCTGCATATCCTCTTATTCTTGACTTGAAGTCTGTTCATATATATTCTTGAATATTGTTTAAAAAATCTAGATATTCCTACACCTCTAGGAAAAAAGTGTTTTATGACAACATGATGCTTTGGGTTCAGAGATGACCTGTCTGCGTCTTCATTTTTATTGTTTAACCAAGCAAAGCCTCATACTTTTTTTCAAAAGCTTTCTTCACATGATTACATGTGTAATTGGCTTTAGTAATAAATTACGAAGCACCTCAATATGTTGTTATTCTCCTGTATCTTAAAAACAAATAAATCTTAATAGGGTGGGGTTTCCCCTAATCCCATGATCTTTTATAAACTCTAGTCAATTTTTAAAAATGTTGGGAGATCCTTGTATTATGTTTGCTTCATGTATGAATAGGTGGGTTTATTCTTCTCATGTAATGGATTTTTGTTAGATTTCCAACATAGGGCTTACATGAGACATTGTGTCAGTTTTACATTGCTTTACAGTTTACTTTATAAACGTTTAAAATTTCCCCCATGATAACACAAACACTGCTTTTCTTAACTTTGGGAAAAATGGTGTCATGATTTTCATGTTTTTGGACTGGTTTCCCAAAATCTCTCTGGGAAGTAATGTTAATGGGAAAATGAGGCAAGGGCTTTTAATATATGACTTAACCTAAAAACATTATTTAATGGTTTTCTTACATAGTTTTGATCAGTATGTGTTTTAAAATTTCCCCAAAACTTTAACATATTTGAAGATTGGGGAGTGCTTTAATTTGTAGTAACTAAATGTGTGTATGGTTGAGGTCTTGGGAATTTAATGTAGTTTCTTTTAAAATTCAGAGTGGAAAGTGACATTGAATTAACACAGTTGTGGAGACAAATCAGTCCCTTGACATTTTTAGGTAAGATCAGTTGTTTTACAACTCAATGACTCCCCTGCCCTTCTCTTTTCTTTAGCCCTGTTGGAGGCCAGAGGTCTTCCTCCTCACCTGTTTGGTCCTCTTGGTCCTCGGATGTCACAGCTTTTCCATAGAACAATTGGAAGTGGAGCTAGTAAGTGAATACTTTAAAATATTTCCTTTTCTTTAAGTCTCTGAATAATTAGTGTTATTCTTTTGGTTACTTGTTGGTGTATAATTTGGTATCTTTTGGATTTCTTTTTGTACTTCTATGTTTGACTCCTCAGTTGCCATCATGAAAATCAGATTTTTATAGAAAAAAATAAAATCTTTTAACTATAGAAAAGAATCATAGACAGTTACATCATCTGATTACATATTTTCATTTTGCTTTTTAAATCTGAATCTTTTTTGGTATTAGAAAGTTTATCCTGTAAGGTAGTGTTAAAATGAACCCGATAGGAATGATTTCTCAGTAGTGCTAATTCTCACCAGACTCCTATCAGATTAAGTATAACCCAGGTTTACATACATAGTTGATATAACAGTGAATATTTATAGTCTTGATTTATAACAGAAAATACTGTTGTGTAGGTAAGTCTTTTAAGATTTAATCATTTTTAAAATAACTTCATAGCTTATCAGCTAATGTATAGCATCAAGTATTTGAAGATTTTAAATAAAATCTTACAGTTGTTATTAGTATTAGCGTGTGCTCATGTTGACATATATGTATGATATGTATGGGTGTACATGTAAGGACAAGTATGTGGAGTTGGTCCTCTCTTTGCTTTGTATAAGTTCCAAAGATTGAACTCAGGTTACCAGACTTGTTTATGTAGCAAGTATTTTTATTTGCCAAGCCTTTATTTATTTTGTTGTTAATACACTGCATTATAAGTTGGGCCTGATGACACATAGTGATAATCCCAGCATTTGGGAGGCAGAAGCAAGTAGATCTCTGAGCAAGTTCCAGGACAGCCAAGGCAACACAGAGAAACCCTGTTTCAACCAAAAAATGAAAAAAACATTGTTATGTGTAGTTTTTAAACCTAAATCTTCTCTCTACTGTGTGCCCCCCAAACAAACAAACATCCAGCAGACTGGAGAGTTGGCTCAGAGGTTGAGATTAATGACTGTTCTTTCAGAATACATGGGTTCAATTCCCAGCATACACATGGCAGCTTACCACTGTTTGTAACTCCAAGATCTGATACTTTCACACAGATATATGTGCAGGCAAAATACCAGTGCACATAAAATAAGTTGTTATATATTCAGGTGATATATCCTGCCACAAAGTTCCTGCTATCAGACTTTTGTGAATTATAAAATATATCCCAGGTTTCATTATACAAATCTCATTTGTTGGGTCTCCCATGTATTGGGATTGTAAGTAGATAATACCACACCTGTCTTCTTGAGCACTTTTGATTATTTACTAAAATGTACTAGATGCAGGTATTAATTCTGATCATAAATACATTGAAGTAGAGTTGTTTTCTTTGTGGAGTTATCTTGGCTTGAAGTAATATCATATGTTAAAAATGCACATAGTAGTATTAGTACAGTGAAAGAAAACAGTAAGGTAGGTTGTCTTGCTAGAGAAACTTCAGAGACATGAACATTTCATAGAAATATAAATGTAGTTAGAAAACTAGCAGTACGTATGAGATGGGCTGATTGCCTATTTAAGAAACACACAAGCTTTTGTTGGTAGTGCTGGGTCAATGGAACCTTGTCCATTATACTGTTGAGCCATAATCCTAGATCATTGTTTGTATTTTTCAGAGTACTTGTCACAGCTAGTATTCTACAAGTGTTGATTTTCTTTTTTCCACTTCATAATTCTTAGTCCTGTATTCCTAATTTTTATGAGGCAAGCCTCGTATTTGTCTTATTTATTTCCAATAGTTTGTATAAAAGAACTGAAGAGGCCTGACAGGGTAACTTTTGGTTGCCATCTTTCCCTTTTTTTCTTCATATAATATAAAATGTTAGAGTTCTGCAATCTACTGACCAGGACCAAGTCTAGCCCCTGCTTATTTTCATTTTTTTAAAAAATGTTTTTATGGGAATTTATGTGGGGTCAGACAACGGGTTTCTCTCTCCATCATAGGACGTATAGACTGAGCTCAGATGGGCTGTGCCATCTCATTGGCCCCTCCTGCTTTCTGTGTAACCTGTAGGGAAAAACGAACTGTCATATTTTGAGTTGAACATTAAGTGAATTTGAAATTTTACTATCCATCAAGATTTAATGAATTAGAGCAATGTTCATTAGTTTTGTACTGTTGTGTCTTCTACTTTTGAGCTATAATACTACAGTCATAATTGGACAGCTACAGTGGAGATCATATGGCCTGTAGAGCCTAAAATAATTATCTGGCTCTTAATAGAAAATGTTGGCCTGCCAATTCGTGGTCTCCAGTGTTCAGTGGAATGTTGGTCTGAGACGATGTGGGAGGTTCCTGAAAGCCTTACATACAAAGATAGGGTGTTACTTGTAATTGTAGTACTGCAGCTTTCCCTTTCCACCTCAGTTGATGTTTTCACTGATATATCAAACTCCTGATAAGGTTAACAAGAAAGAACCAAAACAGGACTGCATACTTTTATTCAGTTATTGGGCCTTTACTGTTAGTGTCATGAAGATTGAAAACATTCCCCCCCCCACCCCCCCATATACTTAATTTCTCCATAGGGTGTAATGTGTTCTTTTGTTACTAAATTTGACATTTGACTTTCCAGATGCATAGTAATGCAGTTCCTTGTTTTTGGAAAAGTATATTTTTAATTTTGTATGTATCATTATATAGTGTATTAGTTGCCAGGCATTAAGGATTTCTCTCTCTTAATCTACAACAAGGTTTGATAATAAAGTACATTTAGTCTACTTAAGAAACAGTGCTATGGGTGGTGGTAATGGCAGCTGTTGCTTTTATTTCTTTTCTGGTGTTGTTTGAATGCATGGCATCATCTATGCTGGTCACATGGTCTACAATTGACCCACTAACTTAATTGTTGATGAGTATAAAATGATCCTACATCAGAGGTACTTAACAGTTTGGCCATTGTTTTTACTGAAGTTCTCTTTAGGAACACACAGGCTTTAGATAATTGCAATCTGATTGATAAGATCATATTTAGGATTGTCAGGTTTACTGTTTATGAAACATCCATTGCATGGCATGTTTGTCAGTTCTCTCTTGTGTTGTTGAGATAGACTTGGTGTACAGCTTTTCATCCCTTTTAAAGTGAAGTTAGGAACTATATGATGCTTTTCATTACTTTTTAAAACTTAAATGTATTATTTAAGCACAAATGATATTCCTGCTGTACTGATAACTAATAATTATTCAGACTTTAGAGGTTGTATTCTTTTGAACATGTCTGTATTTTATTTTCAGATGGACTTTAATTATTGTAAAGTAGTAGGCAGCAATTATGCAATAGAGAAAACAAGTTTTCCAAAGGTCACCCATGTCTTTCTGAGGATTATGTCACCAGGAAGATCTCTGAACATTAGTTACAATAAACTGGTTCTAATGTAAATTTCATGTAGGTTAGAAGTTATTTTCAGATGTTTCTGTATCCAGTTTTGTATATTTTAAAAGTTAATGATAACTGAGTTTAAAAGCCCAATATATACATAATTATTTGAATATGAAAGCATCCATGAAGAGACAAAACATATTTATAGTTTTGGCTCATTTGTTTACCGTGCTGGGGATGGAACCCTGAGTCTCATGAATAGTAGGGAAGCACTGTAGCACTCCAGCATTGGTTTAATTTTGAGTGCTTTCTTCACTGTGATGGAGAAAATGGAATTGCATAATGGAATTGAAGCTTAAAAAAGAATCACTCCAATAGTCAACACCTGCTAATGTAATCAGTATTACAAAATTTGTCTGTTATACAAAATACCTCATGTCTTCAGATACATTATTCTACCTGTCTTAATTTTGTTTTATTTTTTCCTATTCTTTGTGTTCTTTTTTCTTTTGACCCTTGGATACTATTATTAAGAAAATTTTATTAGGATAAAACTGTACTTCCTGCATTCATTTCTTTGAAAGTATAGATATGGCAATACTATCTGTTCCTGTTGGTTTTTGGTAATTTGAGTTTTGCTGCTAAAATTAATTTGTTTCAGTTAAGAAGGCATAAACAAAGTAATTGAGGTCATGTCATGTTAAGGCTGAGCAGATAACAGTTTGTTCTCCCTTTAGTGATAAAGTGTCATAGACTTGAGTTTGCTTTCCTTTTTTCCTTTATAATATGTCTCTAGGAGGTATTTCTTTAAAGTTTTCTGTATTTTTCTTATTTCTGTATGGTTGGACAAACTTTTTTGTTTTTGAAATCTAATTTTAAAAAAGATTAACATTTTTCCCATGGGTTTTTTTTTTTTTAAACATGTTTCTATGCACACATGTGTGAATGTGTGCTCAAAAACAATAGAGGCCAGAAGAGGTGTTCAGTTCCTTAGAGTTGCAGTTATCTATGGCCGTGAACTGCTTGACATTGCTGCCAGAAATAGAATTAGAATTTCTGGAAGAGTAATCGTATTCTTAACTGCTGAGCTATGCCTCCAGGTCTTAGTGTTTAAAAATAATGCCTTCTTTTCCCTTGAAGGTTCTAAGGCCCAACAGCTTCTTCAAGGACTACAAGCAAGTGATGAGAGTCAACAACTTCAGGCAGTCATTGAAATGTGTCAGCTATTGGTCATGGGAAACGAGGAGACACTTGGAGGGTTTCCTGTGAAGAGTGTTGTTCCAGCTTTGGTAAGTATGCTGTTTTTCTATTGGCCTACTTTGCCTACATGTATGCTGTACAAATAAATATTCTCTCTTAATGAGCTGTGTACCCAGCTTGCCTTTGTAAATATTTTTGTGCCCCCTCCCCCCCCCCTTTTTTTTTTTTGGTCGAAGTCACTCCCTTGATTTAACATTTAAATGGTTTACAAGTATTTAGCCCATCAGTAATGCTTTATTTCTTCAGTGTAAAATGTGTTAGGCTTTACTGTTCAATTTTCTAATAGTTGGGCAGTACTAAGTGAAAGATTATTTATTATTGATATGCATAAAATAAAGAATAGTCAAGCCAGACTGTAAAACGTTATGTTTATGTAATTATTAGGCTTACATATATAAGGAATTGACAAAAATTATGAATGCTGCATGAGATTGTCTCATTTGGTCACATTCTCACATTATGGAAAGCTGATATTTTAGGAGTTCTGAGTAAAGTTCTGTCAAATATAAAGTGCTTCATACAGCATTTCTTAGCACATTCTGTCCATTTGAATGGTGTGGTTTTGGCAACTACAATTTCTTGACTTTTTGCTATGCGAACCTCCAGATTAAACTTTTGATAAACACGCCCCCCCCCCAATCTTAACATAATCTAAAATCACTTGTGAAAAATCTCCATGAGGGAATCTTTGATCATCTTGGCCTGTGCTCATGTCTTGGGGAATTGTCTTGATTACATTAACTTGCATGATAGCTATTGTGAGTTCTACCAGCCCCTAGTCCTGGCATTCTGGACTATAAATACAGAGATGATACAGGAGTAAGCATATACACAATAACTTCTGTTTTTCACTGTTGATTTGATTAGCTGCTTTCAAGTGCTTTCCTTGACTATGTGAAATGATTGACTCTATCCAGTACTTGTTAATTGAAATACCCCTTCTCCTCTGAGTTACTTTTTTCATGGTATTTTATCATAGCAACAGAAATGAGATTAAAACAGTTGATATAATAGTCCCTTTTGGTCTAAAGGAATGTGTTACTTGGTTGATTTCCATCTTTTCAATTAGGAAACTTAGTGTATTTGTGTTAAGCATGAAAGTCCCTAGAATTTAATATATTTTTTAAGTGACTGATTTAAATGGCAAATGTGTATAAATGTTTTAGTTTTGAACATTTTTTTCAAAGCATTATTATACGTATTTATTTACTCAAGAAGTCATGTAATAATTGGGTATTAATATCTTTTACTATCATCATTTAATTGAAGAGTACTTGATACCTGAAATATAGTTCATTTAAAAATTTCCAGTTTGCACTGCTTCCTTTGACAAAAGGAGCTACAATTTCTGTGAAGTCATTTTCAAGTGATAAAATATTATAAATTCTGATTTTTAGACTTGTTTGTAAAATAATTCCATTGATATGTCATTTATTAATTGTAGTCTCTAATGTGTTCAATCCTATTTTCAAGTCAGACTTTTCTGAACGATTACCATATGGTTATAATGGTATTCATTTCTTTCAGATGTGCAAGGAATGTAAACTTTTGTCTTCAATCTGTGTTAATATTTAGCAAATACCAGTCATTGCTGCCTCTGATGTGTCAATTAGTAAATCCTCTGACATGTTAATGGGCTTTTCTTAATGGATATTAGAACTATTACAATGGTTGGTTATAAGCAACAGAAATAGTAGTTTTAAACTTGGTTCTTTATTATAGCAGCATTGCCAATCCAGAGCTATAGTATGTAATGCATGACATCCTAAGTATAATAATACTGAAGTACGTCTTGCTCTTATATTTTTATGGTACAAGGTACAAAAATTCTATCTCAGTAAAATGCAAGAAGTATTTCAAGTATGTTCCTAATACTTTGTTATGTTTTTAACAGATAACATTACTGCAAATGGAGCATAATTTTGACATTGTAAGTACATCATGTGTTTTTAAGGGCAGTCTAAATTTTAATTTAAGTATTTATTGAATAAAAATCGATTTTGTTTTCTAGATGAACCATGCTTGCCGAGCCTTAACCTATATGATGGAAGCGCTCCCTCGATCATCTGCTGTTGTAGTAGATGCTATCCCAGTCTTCTTAGAAAAGGTAGTCCTGTTTTTGCACAACTTTTTATAAGCGCACAGGGAGGAGTCAGTTTTGAGTCTTCCTTCCTCCCCTTCCTCCCCCTCCCCCACCCTTCTTACCCTCCTCCCCTCCTTTCATCCTCCCCTCCTCCCCTCCTCCCTCCTTCCCTCCCTTTCTGTTTTTCGAGACAGGATTTCTCTGTATGGCTTTGGAGCCTGTCCTGGAATTAGCACTGTAGACCAGGCTGGCCTCGAACTTACAGAGATCCTCCTGCCTCTGACTCCTGAGTGTTGTGATTAAAGGCATGTGCTTCCAATGCCTGGCACTAAATTCTTGAATTTATTTCTGTGATGTAATTGATGTATGTGTTTTCAACCAATAGTCAAAGAACTATTTTATTATTTTTTATGTACAACAGACCAGTAGTTGAAACTAATTGTTTACAAAATAAGCCCAGTTTTGTGACTTTTTTTTTTTTTTTAAATGATAGCAATTAACACATTACCATCAGAGAACAGGATGAACCATTTCATTAAAATAACATGTTGGGGGCTGGTGAAATGACTTAGTGAATAATAGTGTTTGCAGGGTAAACGTTATGACCCAAGTTTTTATCATCTCTGGAACACACAGAAAAGCCAGGGGCATTGGCATGTATCTGTAGTCTCAGCACCTGTAAGACAGATAATTGGTGAGACATTGGACAGTTGAGACCTGCTTGAACAAAGTGAAAGGTGAAAACTGACTCTTTAAAGTTGTGCATTGACTTTTACATGTGTTCTATAGCATGTGTGCATGAGAACATAAACACATACCACAATTGGTACAGATGAGAGTTAAGGAGAACAACTGGATAGTAGGATTGATAGCTATTTATATCTCATTTGCTAGCTGAGAAGTTTGAAACAAAGGATGTTGCTCATTTTCACAAAATTGAATAGTAGAGAAAGGAAATTTTTCATATGGCCAGTGGTTAGTAGGTTGTGTTTTTGGTGTATATTATCTACCCCCCCCCCTTTTTTTTTTTTTTAAAGCTGTACAATATAATTTAGGTCACCTGATAAAATATAATTGCTCTGATGAAATAAATTTTTAAGCCTGGTTTAAAAAATCTTGTTTCATGTATCAGCTCATTTGCTTTAAATAGGAAGTTTTATCTTACGGTAGTACATTTTTCATTGTCCTTAAACTGAGTAAGTTGTTGGGAAACTGTCAGCTATGTTTTATAGCTTTTATTCAAGGGTGAGATGTTTTCTAGTTTGGTTTCATACTGAAGGTAGAGTAAGTGGCTGCAAATTAAGAAAGTACAGTGTTGATGTTGATAAAATACTATTGAAAGAAATAATAATAACCTTTGGTACCTGCTTTAATATTCCTAGCTGCAAGTTATTCAGTGTATTGATGTGGCAGAGCAGGCCTTAACTGCCTTGGAGATGTTATCACGGCGGCATAGTAAAGCCATTTTACAGGCGGTAAGTGTTGTTGCTGAAGGACTAGTTCCTTTGCTGTTGTATTTCAGAACTACATTGTACAAGTTCCTTTAATGTAAGATGCACATATTCCCATAAAGTGATGTGTCAGACCTTTTAATAGTTATTTTTGGTAAAGGATATTTTCCCTTCATCTTAACACTTTTCTGTATTTTAGGGTGGTTTGGCAGACTGCTTGCTGTATCTAGAATTCTTCAGCATAAATGCCCAAAGAAATGCACTAGCAATTGCAGCCAATTGCTGCCAGAGTATCACACCAGATGAGTTTCATTTTGTGGCAGATTCCCCTACCATTGCTTACCCAAAGGCTAACTCATCAGGTATGAAATTTGTTTCTTAATGTTTTGCTGGATGTGTATAACTCAAAAGTATTCTGATCCATATTTCTTTTTAAGTGTATTATCCAGTCACATATTAATTAGGTTATTTTTTAAATAAGATTTTGGCAGATTTAACCCAACGATATGAATTGTATATATATACGTTCATTGTCTTTAGAGTGGTAGTTAGTGTTGACTTGTTATTGTAACACTTGAGATTTATTTGCATTTGTGAGATCAGAATTTACTTTAGAAAGATTCCTCTAAAAGGCATTGGGAAGGTGGGTTAAAATGGGAAGAGAATGATGGGTTGTCAAAAGTATAGGTTATATCCATATGGTGGGTTTAGAGAGCAGAGTAGGTATGTAAAAAAGGTAAAACAAGGCCGAGCAGTGGTGGCGCACACCTTTAATCCCAGGACTCAGGAGGCAGAGGCTGGCAGATTTCTGAGGTCAAGGCCAGCCTGGTCTACAAGAGCTAGTTCCAGGACAGTTTCCAAAGCCACAGAGAAACCCTGTCTCAAAAAACAAAATAATCAAGTAAACAAAAAACCAAACGACAACAACAAAAAGATAAAGCATCAGAGATAGTTTGAACAGCAGGATTTATATCTGCTGGAGGAGATTGAGTTGCCATATCTGGAGGTCAAAAAGAAATAAGGGTTTTTTATCAATGCTATTATTACTAGAAACACTTTTTAAGGAATCGTCTTTAAATTTGTCTTTATACATTATGTTAAACTTTGAAAATTACATGTATGGAATATGCTTAAGAGATTATATAAGATGATGGGCTCACATTTGTCTCCTACACTTCTATAATGATAGAGTAGAGGCATTAAATATTTTTCTTCTTTGGGAACAAGGGACGGCTTACAGTCCAGATTAGCTGTGAATTTAAATCCTTTTAAGCCCACAACATACATGCCTAGACTGCTTGTTCCTTATTTACTAATTTACTTTTGTGTTATGATCTTATTTTAGAACTCACACAGATCATCTGGCTTTTGTCCCCTAAATGTTGTCATTAAGGTGTCTATTACCATGACTTGTTTAATTTGCTTGTTCTTAAAAGCATAATTGAGATAAACTGAGATAAAATATGTTCTGTAACCGAATTGTGATAATCAATTCAACCTAACATCCTTACTTCATAAATGAGAACTAAGAATAAGAAAATTTAAATTAGTTCGCCACTACCATGTAGCTTTCTTTCTAGGGAATCTAGTAGCAGCAAAGATGTGGGCTTTCATACCTTGATTTCTGTTTTTACAGAAGGAAGCCTAGTTGTTTCATTAATGAAGAAAAAAATGTTGGTTTTGTTGTTATAAGGGTCATTACAGATGTTTTCTCCAGCAGTCTTTATTTTTATTGCAATAGCAAGTTTTCTAATAGCCAGAATTTTTTAAAAAAAATTGTTTCTATAGTGATGTTGCCATTGGTTATCAGTAATTTCATTCCTTAGTGCTTAGGGGATGGGATCTGCTGATGGCTACATGTTTGTGAATCTTCAAGTTTCCATGCAAGTGTTTGCACGTACTTTTTCCTTTATTATTACTACTGTACTTTGCCTAGGTTTTTCTTTTCAAAGCTCACATCTAATGATGAAGTTACCTATATTTTGTGGCAAAGAAAGAACTAAGTGACTGGTGCTGCTAACATTTCATATTGATAAATTTTATTTTCCTTTGTGAAAAATAGGACAAAAAGTCAGTAGAAAGCACTTGCCTTTGTTTTGCACGTCTAGTGGACAACTTTCAACATGAGGAAGTGAGTATCATCTTTGGTAGTATATATATTTTTTAAATTGTAGAATTGCTAAATTACAGCATAATAATTTTTCTTCTTGTGTTCATGAAGAATTTACTGCAGCAGGTTGCTTCCAAAGATCTGCTTACAAATGTTCAACAACTGTTGGTAGTGACGCCGCCCATTTTGAGTTCTGGGATGTTTATAATGGTGGTTCGCATGTTTTCTTTGATGTGTTCCAACTGCCCAACGTTAGCTGTTCAACTTATGAAACAAAGTAAGTGCTATTTTATTATTGTATTTTAAGCTAGAAAAATGGCTCTTTGTCACTAGCAAGTCAACCTAAGTCATGAAAGTAAAAGAAATCATAAATACCATTTGATATTGAAGAGAAATGGTGGGGTAGGAATAAAGGTCAGTGGTAGAGGTTTTCTTGACATAAATGATTTCTGCATGTTTGATATCCAGCACTGCTAAAAAAGATCTTATTTATTTATATACAGGGTCTTTTTATGTATAGCTCTGCCTAGGTAGACCAAACTGGCCTTACTTCTGGAGATCCACCTGCCTTGTTGGTGCTGAGATTAAAAATATATGCTGGCATACCTGGCTTGATCATGTACTTTTAGTGTTACATATTCTTAAAACTCATCTTTGGTGTTTCTGGCACTAATGATTCAAGGTTAATTTCTATGTTACACTAGTTATTGATCTTTTGTTGGCTGTTTAAGCTTTATATTATTTTTAACTACCTCTTAACAATAACTGAATTCTCTCAGCCCATGTTTGATATTTCTAGTGAATTATATGAGTGCAGAATGCTTTCTTTTCTCAGAAAACTGGGCCTTATTTCTACTGACCATTATCTCAATTTTAACTGATTTTACCAATTTTGTGTCTCTCAACCAGTGACAAATGTCATTGACCTCTCTTTTTAGGCCTTGTCTCATAAGTTAATGTCAGAATGTGATATGGTTTCAGAAAATATTTCTATTCTTTCTTAGATGGTCAATAATCATTGGAGCCTCTATAATCATGATTAGTAATTCATTGTTAGAATTTTGAAATTTTGAGGTATCTTGATAGTCAGTTTTGCCTTTTACTGGAAACATAGTTTTTGGCCCCACTGTTTGAGACTGTATAATATTTTGTTTTGGAGAAACCTAGTTTCTCTTTTCATTACATTTCTTGAGAACTTACGCTTCAACATAGACCTTGGCAAAAAGACAGTGTGATTGAGGTAAATAGTTGGACAGATTATTGTTTCCCCTGTGGCGAGCATAGTACCCTCAGTGAAATTAAGAAAAACGCTTTCTCAAGTAGTTTTTGTCACTTTTCTTATTCTGCAGTCTCTAGGACTTCTTTGAAGCTTTGTTAGCTCAGGTTTTCTGGAGTTAGATGGGTAATTTGAGGCACGGTAGTCCAGCTTTAAATACCAGCTTAGGAAGTCAGTGCTTTTCTTTGAATACACTTTGCCTTTAATGTTACATTTTTAATCTCTTTGGCATACTCCAGGAAAATTTCTATATATCATATGGAATCCACTAGACACATTTTCATTCTACAGTGATAAAACACAGTAGTCTCCTTTGGGGAGACTGTGTGTACGTGCACACACATTGTGATCACTTTATGTGATTATTTTTATAAAACTATACAACCCCAATTTCAAGGTCACTTTTTTTTTTTTTTTTTTTTTTTTGTGGTGGTGGTGCTGCAGAATGAAGCTTAAAGTCTCCTGTATTCCTCTGTATGTCTCTAAATTCCATCCTAATGCCCAATGCTGTTTTACAGCAGTCTTGTAAAACACTATGTAGTGATTCATATTATTCGATAAAGTTAGCAAAATTGTACCATTTCAATATAGTAAAACAAGTACTAACTGTGGATTTGTGCATTTTTACATATAGATAATTTTATAGAAATACACTGCAGCTAAGAGAACATAGCTTTGTCTTTAGGTTTTAGCTGTTAGAGTGAGTGAATCTCTGTACCTGAGTGATTATCATGTTAAATTCTTCAGAGACATTTGAGAGTGGAAAGTTAATGTGGAGAATATTTTAATGATGTTTATGTTCAGTTAACATGTAAGTATCATATAAGGCAGGAAATGTGAGCTCAAAATGCTTACTTTATTGGCTATATGCTTCCAATATATTTGAAAGGAAGGTGAAATGTATGAATGATAGCTTGTTGATACAAAAATACTGTGCACCTCAAAGTAGCAAAAGATTCTAAATATGGTGGTATTATCAATAATCTAGAGGATGTGTACTCAAAATGGTAGTTCAGAGAAACACATGGTTAAAATCTACTCAAATTTCTGTTACTCTTTTTACACGTACATTTGGTTTATAGTTTTTGCAGTTTCCCTATTAAGTTCCTCTGTGAGCAAATCATTCAAATTTTGTGCCACTCTATGGAATGATTGCCTTTTTAGTAAATTACTATTCTAGTTTAATAGGCTTATGTTTTGTTTTGTTGTTACTGGCTTTATAGACATTGCAGAAACACTTCACTTCCTCCTGTGTGGTGCCTCCAATGGAAGTTGTCAAGAGCAGATTGATCTTGTTCCACGAAGTCCTCAAGAACTGTATGAACTGACATCTCTTATTTGGTAAAAAATGGGATTATTTTCCTTGAGAGGCTTAACACCTACGGATGGTGCAGAAAGTTTTATTGAAATAATTGCACCTTTTATTTTTCAGTGAACTTATGCCATGTTTACCTAAAGAAGGCATTTTTGCAGTTGATACCATGTTGAAGAAGGGAAATGCACAGAACACAGATGGTGCAATCTGGCAGTGGCGGGATGACCGAGGCCTCTGGCATCCCTATAACAGGATTGACAGCCGGATCATTGAGGTAGTAGTTTCATTGTACCATTTAAATATGCCTATTTTTGTGGAGAGTGGGTGTAGGGATGGAATGGGGAGGTGGTTGTATGTGCTTAGTGTGCTCAGTTTTGAATTAACTTAAGATTCTCTCATTTTGTCTCCTGAGAAAGAAGGTCCTCATTCTGTTGAGGTCAGAAAACATGATGTTCTAGTCCTGCTTCTGCTGCTAACTACCTGCTTGGCTTGGAGCAAGTAATCTAAGTTCTTTATCCCATAGTTTTGTTTCCAAAAGGAAACACTAGAGGGTTAGACTATGTTTCAAAGCAGGTCTATTTCAACCCAGAAGAAATCTTTCATCGTGTGTTTTTTATACTTAATGGGGAAAAAAGTGAAAACAAGTTGAATACCTGCCTCAGGGTGAATACTAAAACTGTTTTAAATAGATTAGTATGTAATTCACCATTAGTGAAATAGATTTTAATGACAAATGAAAGCAGTGTTGAAAACGATGAAACTTTTGTTTACTTGGTTAGAAAAGAATGAATAGTACAGTGGAGGAATATACCAAAATGTTAACGACGATTTTTTTCCATGACAGTCTCTTTGTGATTTCTGTTCATCTGATGTTGTTTGTATTCACTGGAATAATCTTAAATTTCTCAGATGACAAAAAGACTTGGTGCTATAAAAGCATTGCAGTATTTGAAAGGCTGTACATTTTCTGGTAGCACAATTCTTCTAAATTTAAGGCAGTTTTTGAATTGCAACCATCTTCTTCATTCCTCTTGTAAAGCTGTTCTTTCAAGATATTTTTCTCCAATCAGTTTCTAAAATCAGGAGAATTCAGAACCAGCTTTTATGAGAGCCATTTGTTGACTCTTCCCTTGTGCCACAATTGCTAGTGTTCTTAATTTCTAACTTTAAGTGTTTTTCTTCTTAGCATTCTCCTGATAATTGCATTTACTATTAGTTTACTATTGCCAGATAGTTACTCCATTCTGTCTAGGAGTCTCATTTTAGACTGGCCTTTGTATTAAGAGTATTTTTTGTTACTAAATTGATAGGTTATCGCTATAATACAGCCTTAGCTGTCTTTGAACCTGGAAACCTGACTTAATTTCCTGAATGCTGGGATTCCACCATATATAGCATATTTTGCAACTTCTTTAGGGTGCCTGAAGTTAAAAAATTTTCTCTTCTGTGTAATGTTTGCATTGTGATTATTAATCTTAGGTTTTAGTTGTGTTCCTTATAATCTTAGAACAGCATGTAAATTGTGAGGTGGTCTTGTTTACCTTAGGAAAATTATACAAGGTATTAGGCTTAAAGGAGAATTTTAATAGGTTACTAGAAATTGATTTGATAAAAAAATGTTTTCTAACAACTAGAGTTGTAAGCATGTATGTAAAGTTTCTTTCACAATACAATTTAGTACAAAATATAAAGAGTCTTTATGTCAATTATGCTATGTCACTTGGTATTTTATTTTCCCGGAGCTCACGGTTTGGTTTAACTTAGAATGATTTAAATGATTTGTAAAAACAATGAGTTTTGCCATCAACAGTATTAAATTTCCACATTGTATCAGTTTGCCAACCACACAAAATAGATGTATAAAGTAGCATGTGTGGAAGGTCCCTACCGTGCTTAAGGTAACAAATTTCTACATGTTTATATTCAAGGTTTCTCTCTCTTTGCTCTCAGGCAGCCCATCAGGTCGGTGAGGATGAGATAAGCTTGTCCACTCTGGGACGAGTTTATACTATTGATTTTAATTCTATGCAGCAAATCAATGAGGACACGGGAACAGCACGTGCCATTCAGAGAAAACCTAATCCCTTAGCCAATACTAACACTAGTAAGTATCCTTTGAGTTAAGTAGAGATGTACTGTTGGGGTTTATTTATTTAACATTGATTTTTCAGTATGTTGTATGGCCATCCATGTTCTATAACATACATGTAGAAGTCAGAAAGTAACTTGAATGAACCATTTCTCTTTTGCCATGTAGGTTCCAGACTTTAGCCTTGTTGTCAGGCATCTTTACCTTCTTGCTGGAACCTGTGATAATTTCTCTGTACATACTAATAGTTTCATTGAGTATCCTTAGGGAGGGTAAGATAGTGGAATAATGGTGATATATTTCATTAAAATCTGTGCCTCAATTATGATTGAGCCAGTATTACTACATGTGTGATGTCTTTCCCACAATTTTCTTTTTTAAAGATGGGATGCCTGTTAGAACTAATGCAGGTGTTCATTTGACCCTGTCCCACCCCACCCCACCAGAAAAGGACTGGGTGGTAAATGTTAGGAGATTTAATAGGTTATACCACCTTTGCACTATTTAATACTATTGTAGTCTCAAAACTGTCATATTATAAAATATAAACAAATGTATGTATTTTATGGGTAAAGGGCAAGATGCATAACAATAATTGGCCAATCCCTTGTTCATACTCTTCAACATTTCCATTTTCCTTACACATACTCTTTGTGGACAAAATAGTAAAATCAGTTTTTATCTGAGTATTAAGTCCATTTTTTTATACTCTGATTTTTTAACTTTTTTTTTTTTTTTTTTTTGGTGAGTTGATGTTGAAATTTCCCCAGTGTTTCTTAGACCATGCTTTTAGTACAAACAAGAGGTATACTTAGTACAGTGATGCTTTTAGCTGGTGAGAATCGTCAGTGCAGTAGTCTCTTAATGCTCATATTAGATAAGTTAATGTTTGTTCTATAATGAAAAAAATTTGCATAATATTTCACAGTAGTTGCTTGGCTGAATACTTTGTTTCACTGGGCTCTATAGTAGTTGGCCAGTCACTTCAGGGCTGTACTTGTTTTTAAATAACAGGTGGATACTCAGAGTTAAAGAAGGATGATGCTCGAGCACAGCTAATGAAAGAAGATCCGGAACTGGCTAAGTCTTTCATTAAGACCTTATTCGGTGTTCTCTATGAAGTGTACAGCTCCTCAGCAGGACCTGCGGTCAGACATAAGTGCCTTAGAGCAATTCTTAGGATAATTTATTTTGCTGATGCTGAACTTCTGAAGGATGTTCTGAAAAATCATGCTGTTTCCAGGTTTGTTCATGAAAATGGTAAAAATGTTTTAGAAATTTAAATCTGAAGTAATCTTAGAAATTTCCAAATTGTAGTACAGAAAATACAATGTTGAATGTCTATTTTAACATACTGTTAATTTTAAAAATCTAACTGAATTTAATAAAATTATACTTGAAACAATAGAATGGAATTTTGTTCATAATTTTTAAGTAGTATGGCCAAAAGTAATGACCAACTTCAAACAGTTGATACATAAATGTTTTGTTTTTTAGTCACATTGCCTCCATGCTATCAAGCCAAGACCTGAAGATAGTAGTTGGAGCACTTCAGATGGCAGAGATCTTAATGCAAAAGTTACCTGATATATTTAGTGTTTACTTCAGAAGAGAAGGTAATGCCTCCATATCTACCCCCACCCCCACCCCCCACCCCCGACAGGATTTCTCTTTGTAGTCCTGGCTGTCTTAGAACTTGCTTGGTAGTAAACCAGGCTGATCTTGAACTCAGAAACCTGCCTGCCTCTGTGTCCTGAGTACTGTGATTAAAGATGTATGCTGCCACCACCTATAATGGCTTTGCTATTTTCGGTCATAAGTTGATGACTAAGTTAGTCTAGTTAGAACTAATGTGATCTGTACAGTGTTTACAAGGAAAGTATTAGGTGTCACGTGCAAGTGTTTCACGTGTAGTATGTATGTATTGTGATAAGTACACGATGATTGAGTTTCACTGTCTTTTTCAGTGATATTCACCCTCCCCCCACCCCCCAAATATGTACTCAAGTTTGGCAGTAGTCAACTTCTAGAAGTACAGGTACTGTATGTCAGTCTATAATAATTCCCTGAATAAGGTTGCAGTGCATTGTAGCAGTAGATTAGAAAGTTCAGGAGTTACTTTATCTTAACTTGGTTGAGAATGTACATGATATAAGAGGGCATCAGATTCTCTGGAACTGGATTTAACAGATAGTTGTGGGCTTTCATGTGCATCCAGGGAATTGAACTCATGTCCCCTGGAAGAGCAGTGAGTACTCTTAACCACTGAGCCATCTTTCTAAACCTTAATACTTTTTCTTTTTTCCTGTTATTGGAAATTGATTTTTTTTTTCACCCATAATATCCTGATTACTGTTTACCCTCCCAGTTCTTTCCCACTTCCTCTCCCATCCATATCCACCGCCTTTCTATCTCTCATTAGAAAACAAACAGGCTTCTAATGAATAATAATCAAAATATAAGATAAAAACTAACACATCAGAAGAGGACAAAACAAACAGAAGAGCCTAACAAAAGGCACAAAGAACATATAGATGTTGAGACCCACTTGTTCATACACTTAGGAATCCTATAAAAACAATACAGTGAAAGCCATAATATATACAAAAAGGATCTGAAGGGTAAAAATAGAAAAGAAATGAGTATAAATAAGAATATGTATGTATGTATGTATGCATGCATGCATAAAGGAAGGAAGGAAGGAAGGAAGGAAGGAAGGAAGGAAGGAAGGAGCATAATAAAAAGGAAGAGCCCCGATACGGCATTAAAATGAGGAACCTCCAAAGATGCTGTTGAATTCATTTTCTGTTGAACATTTACTGCTGGGCCTACAGCATTTCCTTAGGAGTTGTTTCTTTCCTGAGTGAGACTCCCTTGGAGAATACAAAATTTTCATTTGCAAGTGGTTCTTAGTTGGAAAAAGCTTCTGGGTTAGAGGCTTAGAAGATGGCAGCATTTGTCCACTTCTTTCAGCTCTAGGACTCTATGTGGTGCATGCTGCCTCAGTGTCATTTACAGAGCCTTAGTTCTTTGGTGTCTTCCACCCTCTCTGACTTTAAAGTTATTTCCATCACCTCTTCCACATGGCTTCCGAAGCCCTGAATGGCAGAGATTTGATGGAGAGACCCCATTCAGGCTGAGCATCCAAAGTGTCTCAATATTTGTATAATGTCTGGCTTTCAGTTTCTGTATTTATTACCATCTGTTGTAGGAGGAAAGCTTCTTTTTTGTTGTTGTTTTGAGGGATTTCTTTGATTTTTCTTCTGAAGACAGGCTTTATCTATGTAGCCCTGGCTGTCCTGGAACTACCTCGGTAGACCAGGCTGGCATCAAACTCAGAAATCCATCCACCTGCCTCTGTCTCCTGGGTATGGTCTGCTTCCCTGGCTAGAGTCAATACTATCACAGTAGAAACTCTTCTCCTTGCTCTGACAGTGTGCTGATTACCACCTTTATGGGTAGCAGTGTTATTACAGTGTACTGCTTGTAGTCTTTGAAACTAATTGACTACTTTTCCCTTCCTGGTTATATTATGATGTGTGCTGTGTTCCTTAAATGAGTATTTTCTGCTTTGCGTAGCTCTGTTTTATATGATTTTGGCTTGAAGATTAGAAGACAATAAATTTTAAAAGATTTATTCATTCATTATGTAGTGTTCTACCTGCATTTATGCCTGCATGCCAAAGAGGGCATCAGATCTCATGAGATGATTGTGAGTTACCATGTGGGCAGGGAGAATTGAACTCAGGACCTATGGATGAGCAACCAGTACTCTTAACCTCTGAGCCGTCTCTCCAGTCCCCTTAATTTTATGTTTTCTGATGGAGTCAAGATGAAAACTTGGACTTTTCCTCCTCCTTTGCTCATCCACCTTCCTGGCTTTATTTCTAGTTTATCATGATTAACATTTAAAATTTTTGTAGTGATGGATGTTGTTCTTGACTCCTGATTAAACTGACCTCTTTTTGTTCTTATTGCTGTTGAAGGTGTCATGCATCAAGTAAAACATTTAGCAGAATCAGAGTCTTTGTTGACAAGTCCACCAAAGGCGTGTACAAATGGGTCAGGATCCCTGGGGTCCACAACACCAGCCAGCAGTGGGACAGCCACAGCTGCAACCAATGCCTCTGCTGATCTGGGGTCACCCAGCTTGCAGCATAGCAGAGATGATTCTCTGGACCTGAGCCCTCAAGGGTGAGTTTTGTTGTGATTCTTAAAGTACTTTGCTGTTATCCGTGTTGATAACCAAGATGCCTACTGGGAGTAAAATACCTGAGAGTAAACTTTTTTTTTTGTGGTGTGTGGATTAAATTTGCAGACTTAACAATTACCCCTACCCCTGAAGTATTTCCTCAGCTTTTCTATTCTTGGGATGGAAAGAAAATAACTTTAGGAAAGGTACTTTGGGCCCTGTTTTGTATATACACTAAATATATATGCACAATATTCACATTGGAACCCAAATAAAGTAAGGTGCAGACATGTTAGGTTTGTTTATGTGTGTTACAGAGTATCTTAGCCTTTGTTTCGAATTCCATAATTTTGTAACTATTTTGTATTACTGCATATGTGCCTTTGTGATATCCAGGTATTGATGGAGTAAAAAAAAAATACAAATTAGAAACCATAGGCAAGGTGGCCAAACCTGACTTCTCATTAAGTTCAATTCCCAAATACATGACTATTTCTTAAAAGTAAATAGATGATAGTTTTAAAGTCATTTGTGGTTGTTCTGCTGTATTGTAGGATGTTGGGAGACTTCAATTTTTTGTTTTTAATTGTCAGTGCATTAGAAGATTGTACATTTAAGTGGTCTTATTTCTTTTATATTAGAAACTAGAATATTGCCATCTGAGTTGTACATAGTAAGCCAGTTTAATTTGTACCCAGCATAATTATACATGTTTTTCCTTTTGTTGTACAATATATCTTTTTAAAACAAAGATTTATGTATACTTTGTTGTGGCATGTACATGGTGGTGAACCACCATGATGATGTTGGGAATTGAATTCTGGACCTCTAGAAGAGCAGCTAGTACTCTTAGCCTCTGATCCATCTCTCCAGCCCAACTGTACAATATGTCTATATGGGTGTTTTTTTTTGCCTACATGTATATATCGTGTTTGTGCATTGCCTTTGGAGGACAAAAGAGGACATCCAACCTCTTTGGACTAGATGGTTGTGAGTTGCCGTGTGGGTGCTGGGAATTGAACTCGTGTCTGCTAGGAATCAAAGCTAGTGCTCTTAACTGTGGATCCAGTAAAATACGTATTGGTAAAATATTCACACTGGGATCCTAAAAGTTTGTATACCTTGAAGAACCATTGACTTGTACATCTGGCTAGATTGAAGGAAGAATGACTTTTGCTGCCACCTTGTGGTGGTAGTGTACTTGAGCTTAAGTAAAAAGTCGGGCTTTGACTGGTTACTAATTCAGGGAAGTGGGTGAGTTTATGCTTTTCATTGTTAATTGGTCTAGTTTCTGAAATAGACTTGGAGCCTGCTAAACTTTGTACTTTCCTACCTATGATGCTGTTGTGTTTGCTTGTCTCCCACTTAGCCTTCTACCTTATTGTTCCTCCACACTCTGGTCATTACAATAATGTTAAATTATTACAGAGTTTTGCTGTAAAGTATTCCCTTTTGCCTGAGATGTCTTTATGTGCTCCATGAGTTTCAGGATGCTGTGAGATAGCCCACACAATGTAATCTTTATTTCTTTTGTGTTAGGGGTGGTGGAGATAGAGTTTCTCTATGTAACCTTGTTTGTCCTGGAACTAAAATGTAGTATTACTAAGCCAGTTTCAATAAAGGAGTAGTGTGTTTATACAATATAATAGCTCATTAGTTCAAAGAAAGCCTGTGTTTTTGAAATACTTTGTCTTAAGTTGTTCCATATTCCAGGTTTTAAATGTTGATATATAGCACTGGCTCGTCCAGAACTCATTGTACAAACTAGGCCTTACAGCATTTCTCCTGCTTTTGTTATGTGTGTGTCTTAGTATATGTTTGTGTATCATAAATGTTCAGGTACCTTCAGAAGCTTGAAGAGAACATCAGATGCCCTGGAATAAGGTTGTGAGCCTTCATGTGGGTGTTGGGAACAGACCCCAATTCCTGGAAGGAGAAACAAATGCTTTTAACTGTTGAACCATCTCTTTTTTTAGTCCTCCAAGTGAAATAGTCTTCATTTTTTTTTTTCTTTTACTAGTTGTTACAGCATACTTCTTTTCGTAAGAACTATTTTTTTCAGAAGATCTATTTTTTTGGTTGTGTATTTGAATATATTAAATATGTTTATTTTATAGAATTACCAGACTCTGGGATTCTTTTCCCAATTAAAAAAAAGTCATTTGAAGCCAGGTGTTGGTGGCAAATGCCTTTAATCCCAGCATTCGGGTAACAGAGGTGGGCAGATCTCTGTGAGTTCGAAGGCAGCCTGGTCTATAGAGCTAATTCCAGGACAAGCTGCATAGCAATACAGAGAAACCCTGTCTTGGGGGGTGGAAATCATTTGCATTATTTAAATGTTATTTGAGTCACAAATGGACAGAACTAGAACATTTTACTTATCATATTTGTTTGTGTGTTCATGTGCCCTGGTGCCAATGTGGAAGTCAGAGGACCATTTGTACCAGTTGGTTCACTTGTTCTATCATGTGGTTCCTTACGATGAATTCAGGTTGTCTAGCTTGTTGGCAAGTACTTTACCTATTGAACTGTCTTGCTATCCCCTTAGAATGTTCTTTTTATCTGCCCACTCTTTTGTATCTTTTATTAAATAATTTCAGAAATTATTTCTAACGTCAAGAATAGTAGCTTGCAAGGTATGGTATAGTATATTGTGTTTATTAGAATAAAACCTTTGGGCAGATGAAGTGAAGCCTTCCCTACTCTCAAAGCCAAGGAAGGTAAGTCAAGAAACTCATACACTTGAGATCCAACCTGAGGTAATATGGAAACACTGTCTCAACAACTAAACAACTGTGGTAAAAGATGCTGTAGACAATTCACTTAATACTGGTTCTAGTTCCAAATAGGTTTTTCATAGTGTCCCTTAGTAGATTTATAAAAACATTAGTGGGAATTCTTAGTGTATTTATGATGTTATTACCATTATTGTACCTTTTGGATATGATATTGTAAGTAATTAGAATATTTTTATGGTATGAATAGTAAGGCCCATGTATGTTCTGTTGTAAGTTAGGTTGGGGAAGAAATATACTAGTTTGATTTACTTTTTTTTAAACTGTGCTTTGTATTTTTAATTCATTATATTTTGTAAAATTGGATATGAATAAAATTAAGCCTTCAGTTTTTATCAGTTAGTAATTCATTTTCTGTCTCTGTAGTCCCTATAGAATATGACTTATAGATTCCATATTAAATCAGTCTGCAAATTGTTTTGATACTGTTATTCATTTTACTGTCTCTACTGACTTACCTGGGTTCTTCAGTGGTAATTGCTAACCTCATCCTCTGTTTTTCCATGCAACAGTCGATTAAGTGATGTTCTTAAGAGAAAACGACTGCCAAAACGAGGGCCAAGAAGGCCAAAGTATTCACCTCCAAGAGATGATGACAAAGTAGACAATCAAGGTGGGTCCCTTGGTGAATTGGTGGGAGATGGAGGAGAAGATGACAAAACAAGTTTCCTCATGATTTGTGCTCTTAATTCCTATATTAAGACTGAATTTTTTGATTTTTCTTCAGTTTTTTTGAAATGATTTGAATGTAATTCTTTTCTCTTTATAGCTAAAAGCCCCACCACTACTCAGTCACCTAAATCTTCCTTCCTGGCAAGCTTGAATCCAAAAACATGGGGAAGGTTAAGTGCACAGTCCAACAGCAACAACATCGAGCCTGCAAGATCTGCAGGAGTTAGTGGTCTTGCTCGGGCAGCCTCAAAAGACACCATATCCAATAATAGGTGAAGTTTGTGCTGGGGTTGGGGGGTGGGAGTCCTTCAATATGACTGTATTGAGTATACAATCATCACATGGAAGTTATATGTGAACTTGGTTCAATTTGTTCTCAAGTTAAAGATGAGTGAGATCCTTATTAGGATGTATATAGCTCAAGACCCGCCTGTGGTTTCAAACCTATTCTCTGCATATAAAAACTGTAGCAATATTATAACCATCTGACAGCTCTAGTTACTTTTGTTCTACATGGAACCTTTTTACTGAATTATGCTTTCATTTTCTCTTTGTACATTTTAATGAATTTCTTCTGCCTCCTTAGTGGAATTTGAAGATTTATAGCTGAGAGCAGCTGTTATTTTGAAAAAGTACTTAGATCTATGTCAGATTCTAATTTCTTACCAGTGTCAGGGTCATATGGGAATGCCTTTCTTGGGAGGCACTTAAGGTAGAGTACCTGTGTAGACTACTTCCTCTATAAATAAGATATTTTCCCAGTGGCATTTTATTTTAAAGATAACTTTTAATTTGTTCGAGTTGACTGCTGATTCTCTGAATTAGTTATAAAAATAATTAAGCAAATGTATTTTTAAAGTTTATAGACAGCCTGGTCACATGTTTCTGGTATACCTTCACCTCATCTCTTTAGGGAACAGCATTGGACCATGTAGATATATTTGTCCTTTATTCAAGTATTATTTAAATTTGTATTTGGATATGAACACTTAGAAAATTAGAACATCTTAACACTCTTTAAGTGATGACCTGAAATATATTCTAAGTATCTAAACAGTTCTATAAATACATTTTAGTTTGTTTTCAGAATGAAACTAAATTTGCTTAATCTGAATTACAGTAATGATCATAGGCCAAAAAGTGTTTTAAGTGAGCTATAATTTTATTTCCTTTATATCTGTGTCTCAGTACTTGCAGAAGTCAGAAAACAACTTGTAGAAGTGGGTTCCCTCTACCATGTGATTGAATTCTGGGGATTGAGCTTGGGTCATTGTGGCAAGCACCTTAACCTGTGAAATATTTATAGGTCCCTAATCTGACTTTCAGTGTACATTTTTTTTTTTTAAATCTACATGGATACATTAATATCTCCTTTTCTTTCTTGTAGAGAAAAAATTAAAGGTTGGATTAAGGAGCAGGCACATAAATTTGTTGAACGTTATTTTAGTTCTGAGAACATGGATGGAAGCAACCCTGCCTTGAATGTACTTCAGAGACTTTGTGCTGCAACTGAACAACTCAACCTCCAGGTACTCTGTGCAGTGCATCTTGTTTGCTGGTAGATAGTTGTAGAAACAAATTGTTTCTACAACTGATTTCTTTGCTTGTTTACCCTTGACTTGCCATTGGGTTGCGTTCTTTATGTCCCCTATTTCTTGACAAATGACAATTCACAAGAATGTCTTTTCTGAATGCTTATAACTATTATAACTAACTTTATCTGTAGATTCATAGGATTTACTTGGAGCAGCTTGAACTTTATCATGAGCATTTCATCTAATTCTTTATTGTTTTATGTTTTTTTGTAATTTCCGATCTTATTTTCAAGATGTTTCATAAATATATTAAGTTTATTAACTTAAAGTCATAGCAGGTTTCATTATCTGGCTTTCTGAGCCTTACTCTAATTTGAGAAAGTTAGTAAAATATTAATTGTACAAAGTCATGTTCTTCACCATGACTAGTTCATACATTGTATATTATGTACTTTGTACACAATTTCCCCTCCCATTACCCTCTCTTGTTCCCTGTTTCTCTGGTTCTCAAATAGTCATTGTTCTACAAGTAGTCATTGTTGTTCTTCTGTGTTTATTTTTGTTTTTAAATGTATTCTACATGGTAGAGATAGCATGTCCTATTTTTGGTGAATATAATGATGTAATTTTTTGTTAGCCCCTTTGATTGGAGTTTGTGGTATTACATTTTTTAATCCCTAAATAGAAATCTGCATTGGTTAAATGGAAAACTTTGTGTTATGAACACCTGGTTTTCATCATGAGATACCTTTCTGTGATGTTCCCTGAGCCTTGTAAGGAATGGTAATAGATGTTCTACTTTGGACTGAATGGTGAAAAGATATTTTTCTTAGCACTTCAACAGTTATGACTGCATATTATTTCCTATTGCAAAAAAACTTTCTCTGACCAACACTGATCTGATTATTTGTGTTTTGACCCTGGCCATTTAACAAAACAACAGTAATAGGAGCTTTTGACCTTCATTGGAATTTAACCAGGTTTATAGTACTTACTAGAAATGATTTTTCCTCTTGTCGAGTGGTTTTCAGATTAGCCCAGTAAAAGTTGAGCCAGTATTGTACCAGTGGCCACATCTTGCCTGGCAAGTTATATTGTAGCTCATAGGATTCATGTTTGTTTTTAAAAACCATTGAGAATATATTTTTGATTCCTATTGGAGAAATATAAATTGTACTGTTTAAATCAGTATAGAATCCTCTTTTCCACTCTTTCAGGTGGATGGTGGAGCTGAGTGCCTTGTAGAAATCCGTAGCATAGTCTCCGAGTCAGATGTTTCATCATTTGAAATCCAACATAGTGGGTTTGTGAAACAGCTGTTGATGTACTTGACATCTAAAAGTGAAAAAGATGCTGTCAGCAGAGAGATCCGGTTAAAGCGATTCCTACATGTATTTTTTTCTTCTCCAGTAAGTTAATAATGGTCCCGTCTTAAGAGTTGGTGCTAACAAGTACATATATTTATGTCCCAATAACAATGTACTGTGTGTTGCCTATTCAGTTAGATTCTCTTGACATTTATTTATTGACAAAGTTTTACCATGTAGATTAGGCTGGCATGGAATTCAGAGATCTGTTGCCTCTGCCTCCTAGGTGTACTGGTGTTAAAGGTATGAGTTACCATGCCTAGATTCTTTTTATGTGTCATAAAATAGATAGTAAAATGAAACCAGACATGAAGCCCATGATTAAGATCTCAGCACTTGGAGGGCAAGGCAGCATGGTCATTCTCTGGTACAAAGTGAGTCCTAGACAAGCCTGGGTAGCATTAAAAAACAATAACAAAAAAATCCCCTTTCTTAACCATTAGTGACCTGAGGTCCCACCCACATCAACTTTGTCAAGTATCTTCTTCATCCTCCCCACCTCCTCATAGCCGTTAATAGCATTTTCACTTACTAATACTTGCTGAGGTTATGATAGGAAGATTGATACAATATTTCTATTTGTTTTCATTTTGTTCATAAACGATGCTTAACAACCATCTCTATAATACCGATTACAAGGAAAGGGTCTGTAAGCTCTCCCTCCCACTTTTTCCCTTTGCCCCTAGTAGCTAAGAGTAAAAGCTAACTACTTTCAAGTACTGTTGACTGGACCTCCTATTACAAGTGCTTTAGAAAAGTCTTAACTCAGAAAGTAGTTTTCTGCATATTTGGTGTAATGAGCTTAATGATTATTGTTTATTAGTAAAACTACTTAACCATGCCCCTTTTAAGTGTACATAGTTATTTTTGAACACTGCCTAAAGGCAGAAATGGTATTGATACTGATTTTGTTTTGTTTTAAATCTCATTTTCCATGCTTGTGGTGCAAGTGTAGGAATATATCTAATGTTTTATATCTTGTCTAATGTTGTTTGGGGGCTGGAGAGATAGCTCAGCAGTTGCAAGAGCTTTGGCTGCTCATTCCCAGTAACCCAGGTCCAATTCCCAGCATTCACATAGCAATTGAAAACTGTGTGTAACTTCACTTCCAAGGATCCAATGCCTATACACAGATATACAAGCAGGCAAAACAACTAATTCGTGTTAAAAAAAAAAAAAAATCAAAAAAGAGAAAACATTTGGAAACATTGTCTATTATAAAAGATAAGGAAATTAATAGATAAATCTCCATTTGTCAAACTTCTTATTAAAATGTTTGTGTTGTGGAGAGTTGACTTTTCAAAAGGCCATGTTTAACGTTGGTGTATTTATAACTCTAGCTTCCCGGAGAAGAGCCCATTGGAAGAGTAGAACCAGTGGGCCACGCGCCTTTGTTGGCACTAGTTCACAAAATGAATAACTGCCTCAGCCAAATGGAACAGTTTCCAGTCAAAGTGCATGATTTCCCTAGTGGAAATGGATCTGGAGGCAGGTAAGGACCATTACCTGGGTATGTCCACTTGCTACCAGAATTGTTAAAGGAAAACATGAAAGTTCTGATAAGGTCATGGTAAGATCATGCTGTGTATTTTACCTATTTTTTTGTTTGTTTGTTTGTTTGAGACAAGATTTCTCTTTGTAGACTTGGTCCTGCCTGCCTCTGCCTCCCAAGTGCTGAAAATTAAGCATGTGACACTACTCTTAGCTCAAACCATGTATTTTAACAGCTAGTATTTTTAAAGTAAGTAAAAATCAGTGATTGGGTTGACAATATTTTTTTTGAAACCCATTATTTTTCTATATTGATAAGTTTTAATAATGTAATACTTCTCCAACTTTTTTATTCTAGTATTTATTTTTGCATTCATTTATGTATTTATTTTCGAGACAAGGTTCTCTAATAGCTCTGGCTGTTCTGAAACATACTTTGTAGAGCAGACTGGCCTCAAACTCAGAGATCCACTTGTCCCTGTCTCCCTTGTGCTGGGATTAAAGGCATGTGCCACCACTACCTGGCCCAATAATTTTTTTTTTGCGTGTGGTCTATAAAATATTTATTTTGTAAAAGTGTTTTACTCTACTACATTTTAATGGGTTTTAACATGTAACTGATCATATTGAAGTTTGAGTTGAATAAAAATGTGCTTTCTTACTAGTTTTATAAGTGTTAGGGAATTCTGTAATCTTCATTGAAAAAAAAATCTTACATGTTATTTATATTTTAAATCCAACTCTTTTAGTTGTTGTTTATAGCAACTATATTGAATAATTTGATTTGTTATTAAATCTTTAAGTGCTTTGTATCATAAGAAAAGGAAGATTTTGTTATCTTTTTAGTTAAAGTGCTAATATGTTGCCTGGAAATAATAGAATAACCCTTTTTCTTAAATTATCTTGAGCTTTTCTCTCAACAGAGGATCACAAGCTTTAAAATTTTTCAACACACATCAGTTAAAATGTCAGTTACAAAGACACCCAGACTGTGCAAATGTGAAGCAGTGGAAAGGTGGTCCTGTCAAGATTGACCCCCTGGCTTTGGTGCAAGCTATTGAAAGATACCTTGTGGTTAGAGGTATTTTCCGTCTATGTACTTCACCTGTGTCGTTATGAAATTAGCATTGAAGGGTATATTGTTGTTCCTGATAAACCTTAGGTAGTGGGAATCTCTGCTCCTACTAGAAATGGGCATATGTTAAACTTCCTTAATAGGCAGTGTTCTGTATTTCAGAATTTTGTAGCTCTTTTTTTCATAGATCAGAACAGAATGTCTACTATTTTTTAAAGAAAATACAAGTTTAACCAAAGTATATAAACTTTCATCTGCCACTTAAAATTCCTAGATAACCATCTCCTCTTTTACTCCCCTCTACCCCACCTCCCTTTGGTACATAGGATATGGAAGAGTAAGAGAAGATGATGAAGACAGTGATGATGATGGATCAGATGAGGAAATAGATGAGTCTCTGGTAAGGTACTTTTTACACAGTCTTCTAGTGTAGTGTGTACTTAATGGCATATCCATGATTTAGCCTTCCTGGATTCAAATGGCACCATATCAACCATTGTTGGGGGGGAAATCACAAAAATGAATAATTGTTCTAGTAATTAATAATTTATTTTAATGTGCTTATGTAATTATTGTTGTTTCTTATATCTACTTATGAATTGAAACATTTTTAATTGTGTATGTATAGGGGAAAAATAGACATATTTTTAATATAAATTGAGTATATCCCTAAAATGAATTTAAAATCTGAAATCCAAAGGATGTTACATTTGCCTATATGTGGTAGATTGTAGAGTAAATGGGAATTGCACTAAGTGTACCAATATTTGTCTTCAAAGCTGTGTATGCAAAATATGAATTGTCTTGACTGGGGTCCCATCGTTATGTATATGCAAGTATCCTCATACTTAAAACAAAATTCCATCTCTGAGCATTTCTGTCTTTAAGCCCTTCAATGACTGATAATTGGAATGTTAGGGCTTCCAGAGGATCTGTAGTTTCAAACACCCACCACAGGTCTTGTTTTCTCAGCAGATATGTCTTTGTTAATGTATAGATGTCAGTAGTTGTGCTTATATGAACCTTTTTTTGCTTTATTCAGGCTGCTCAGTTTTTAAATTCAGGAAATGTAAGACATAGGCTACAGTTTTATATTGGAGAACATTTACTACCATATAACATGACGGTATACCAAGCAGTGCGGCAGTTCAGTGTACAGGCTGAAGATGAAAGGGAATCTACTGATGATGAGAGCAATCCTCTGGGAAGAGCTGGTATTTGGACAAAAACTCATACAATATGGTAAGTCTGAACTGGTTTCTCTTAGGAGTATATGATCTTTGTTTTGAAATTCTTACTAAATAAATGGACCAATTCTGTGAGGAGAGGGAGAACCTAATAAGCCTTTCAATATTTAATAATGCGTATATGTATGTGATCATTACTTCCTCATTCTGTCTACTAGAAAGCATGTTTATAGGCAGTTAATTTACTTTTTGATTCACCTTGGGGTCTTTACTGGATTCAAAATGATAATGTGGTATTAGATTATAAGTTTGGTAGCTCTGAGTCCTATAGCATTTGGATGCAGTGTTTCCCAAAGTAAAGTCTTCCTGGGAAGACTTGCTTATTTACTGCTTTCTTTTGGGAAGACAAACGTTTGGTAACTCTGAATCCAAATAGGGAGCAAGAGGGTATACTTCAGAGAACTCTTAGGAGGAATTTTCTGACTTAGATGTTAGCTTTGTTGAATAATTTTCACATTTAAACATCTCCTTTTGATTTTTATATTATCTTATCCTTATAGGTACAAACCTGTGAGAGAGGATGAAGAAAGTAGTAAAGATTGTGTTGGTGGCAAAAGGGGGAGAGCCCAAACAGCTCCAACAAAAACCTCCCCCAGAAATGCAAAGAAGCACGATGAGTTATGGCATGGTAAGGTGACACACTGAGGAAAGCAGACTGTCAAGAGGCTCTGGCCTGCATGCATTCCTCCTCAAAACCATTTAAGGCTCCAGAAAGCTTTGGGTATAATTAAGATATAAATTACTTTTGTATGATTACTTTAAGTTAAATCTTTGACTTTAATATCTAGTAAACAAGAATTAACTATAAAATTAAAACTGAAAAATTAGTACCTTCTAGTATTTTAAGGATTCATGGCTTTGTAAAGGGTTAAATGCATTCAGTAACTAAAGAAGAGACTTCTGGAGGCTTTGTCTTGTCACCAGCAAACAGACTGGCTCTTAATTTCAGAGGACAGTTACAGGGTAGGAATGCAAAGGATTTATTTTCCTTCTGTTGTTTGGGTTTGTGTGTTTGTCAGGGGAAGTTGAACATTTTATATGCCTGTGCATTATGTTAAAAGGGAAGAAATGTCTGAAACTATTGAGATACCAAGAAGTTAAACACCACACAGCTTCAGATGGTGAAGCTGACTCTGGGCCTGTAGGTTTATTGTTACTTTAATCAAAACTCAAAGTTTTCTTTATTCTTTAGATGGAGTGTGTCCATCAGTAGCAAATCCTTTAGAAGTTTACCTCATTCCCACACCACCTGAAAATATTACCTTTGAAGACCCATCTTTAGATGTGATCCTCCTCTTAAGAGTTTTACACGCCATCAGTCGATACTGGTATTACTTGTATGATGTGAGTAATGTCTCTTCATAAAATCCTGTGTGTCATCTTACAGTTTTTTATTTAGTAAATGAATGTCCTATTACACTAGAAAAAGAAACAATGATTGATGTATACAATGAACTCATTTGTGGAACTTAATATTCTCGGATTAAGTCTTTTATTGTTTAAAGAAATAACTGAACATTTTGTCCTAGTTAGGGTTTCTATCACTATGACAAAATACTGTGAACAAAAGCAAGTAGGGAGGAAGGGTTTATTTGGCTTAGGCTTCCATATCACTGTTTATCATTGAAGGAAGTTCGGGCAGGAACTCAGCAAGGCGTGAACCTGGAGGAGGCAGCAGCTGATGCAGAGGCCATTTAAGAATACTGCTTACTTTACTGACTTGTTCCTTGTCATGGCTTGCTCAACCTGCTGTTTTATTGAATCCAGAACCACCAGCCTGGTGGTGGACAAACCCACAATGGACTATGCTCCCCCCCCCCCCAAATCAATCACCAATTAAGAAATATCTTTCTCTTTTAGACAAAAATAGGAAGAAAGGAAGAAAAAGAAAGAAAGAAGTAAAGATAGATAGATAGATAGATCGATCGATCTTACAGGCTTGCCTGCAGCCCAGTCTTTTGGAGGCATTTTTTTTCAATAGAGGCTCCTTCCTCTCAAATGAGTATAGCTTATGTCACTTTGACATACATAAAACTAGCTAGCACAACTAATCTCATGTCAACTTGACACAAAAGCATATCACTGTTAAACCACAACATGTTAATATTATTGCAACATAAAACATAAAGTCCCACAGTCTTTTTAAAAAAAAAAATTACCCAAATCTCCTTTAAAAATTTAAAATCCAAAATCTTTTACAAGTTCAAAGTCTCTCAATTGTGGGCTAATGTAAAAGTCAAAATTAAGTTAAATGCTTCTCTTTCTTCAAGAGGAAAGAATCAGGGCACAGTACCAATCTGAACAATGCAAAACTGAACTCCAACAGTTTAAATAACTCAATTTCCAATATCTGGGATCCACTCACTATCTTACGGTTCCTCCAAGGGAATTGGGTCACTTCTAGCTTCCTCTGCTGTGCCGACTGCTTGTCTTCTAAGCTCCATTCCAATGCTGCTGCTGTCCTTGGTGATCATCCCATGGTACTGGCGTCTCAAAAATGTTGGGGTCTTTTGCATCTGGGCTGCCCTTTCACCAAGAGCCTCTGCTGGACTCAAGTCTCTTCAGTGACTTGAGCCACGCCAGTGTCAAACCTCAACTGCTATTTATAACCCCTTCATGTATTCAAAATGAGTACCACCTGGTTGACTCTTAAACTGTCAGGTTCAGTTGCAAGCTCAAGGAAAAACCTTGGTTACCTCTGGAACACAGCTTCTGTGTGTTGACTCTGAGGAAACACTTTCCAGGAGATTTCATCTCAGTGATTCTAGTTTCTTCGTAATCACTGCTAATTTCTCTGCTCTAGCTAACCAGCATTAATTGTCAGAGTAACACAAAGGTTCTGGTGCTGGTCTCTTGTTAGTCACAATTGAATTAACTTGAGACTTGAGCCCTATCTGACAAGAGCCAGAGGTTTTTAATTCAAAATATGCAGTGGTCCTGATATGATAATTTTCCAGTGTCTCTCAAAACTTCCCCTGTAACTTCACAAGCTAGGCTTCCATCCTCTACATCTCTCAGGCTTCTTATCCTCCACACTCCCACAGCTCAGCTCACCAAGGTTTGAATGCTCACTGGTTGTTCAACCCAAATATCAAAGGTCCTTCCACAACCTTCCACAAGACAACATGGTCAAGGTCTGTCACAGCAATACTTCACAATCTTGCTACCAATTTTTCTCCTATTCATTTAGGGTTTCTACTGCTTGGATGAAATACCATGACCAAGTTGAGATTCCCTGCTCTCAGATGACTATTGTTTGTGTCAAGTTGACATAAATCTAGTTAGCACTCATTTCTTCATGTAAAGATTTATATTGAGTAAACAGTTGCATACCTCATTTCTTACATAGTGTGGGGAAGAATGAGGGAAGCAGGTTCATAGGGTTTGGGTACAGGAAGTTTCAGAAATGGGACTTGCTATTGTATGTAAAAACCTGGTGAAATCTATAGGCCTACCTACTTATGGATAAAGGAAGAGTTTTGAACTTTTTTTTTTTTTTTTAACAGAATGCGATGTGCAAGGAGATTATTCCAACTAGTGAATTTATTAATAGTAAGTTAACAGCAAAAGCGAATAGGCAGCTTCAAGATCCTCTAGTAATCATGACAGGAAACATCCCAACATGGCTCACCGAGCTAGGAAAAACCTGGTAAGGCAGTCCCTTTGATAAACTTGTAAATGTTAATGGGGTGTTGGTCTTTACTTGGTTTGATTTGTATAGTTGATGTGCTCAGATCTTGACCTGTAGTGTAATATTTGTTGACAACTTGGCAAACTTACTGAAGGATATTTGACTAAGGATAGTAAAGTCCTTTGCCTTCCTAAAAGTGATACTCCAGAGGTGTGGCTGCTTGGGTTTCTGAATCTTTCTTGAACTAGATACTATAGTTTTTCCTTGGTGTCACCATATCCCTACATGTTGCCATATTGTACAAAACAGACATTTCAAGAGCTTTTTTCAAAAAGCAAAATGAAATCAAACCCTTAAACTCCTTGTAGGAAGTGTCTTGGCTACAGGATCCATTCTTTGAAAACAAGGAGCTTGTTCTTGGCAATCTTTTTTTTTTTTTTAAAATGCTAAGCCGTTAACTCTTACATGTAGAGTCTAGAATGTTGCTGAGCTTTTATGGCATGGGTTTGCATGTCCTAAAAGCTTTGGAATAGGTTTAAGGTGATTGTGGATAGATACACAATTGTTGATTTCACATAGAAAGACATATAGAATACATGATTCTTCAACATTTAGTGATGTCATCAAGAGTTTGGTGTGATGTTTCAGGCCCATCCATTTGAGAGATTTTAGAAGGACTGTTCTCCCCAAGAATTTTAAAGCCAATCTGGGCAGCATAGTAAAACTCCATGCCAACAAAGCTGTTAAAGATTTATGAAGATTTTTGTTTTGTTGTTGTTTCTTTTTTTTTTTCTCTCTCTCTCGAGACAAGGTTTCTCTGTGGCTTTGGAGGCTGTCCTAGAACTAGCTCTTGTAGACTAGGCTGGTCTCGAACTCACAGAGATCCTCCTGCCTCTGCCTTGGATGTGTTGGGATTAAAGGTCAGCACTACCACTGTCTGGCCTTTTTGTTTGTTGTTTTTTTTTTTTTTTTTTTTTTTTTGAGACAGGGTCCCTTTATGTAGTCCTGGCTATCCTGTATCTTAATTTTGTTATGTAGACCAGGCTTGCTGAACTCATGGAGATCCTCCCATCTCTGCCTTCCAAGTAGTGAGATTAAATGTGTATGTCACCAGTGTATTATGTCATTAAGATGCTTCCAATATAGATTTTGATGTTTTTTAAATGTCTTCTGATTCTCATCCAGATGGTAAATCAATGTTTTATCTTTTGTAGCCCATTTTTCTTTCCTTTTGATACCCGACAAATGCTTTTTTATGTAACTGCATTTGATCGGGACCGGGCAATGCAAAGATTACTTGATACCAACCCAGAAATCAACCAGTCTGATTCACAAGACAGCAGAGTTGCACCTAGATTGGATAGAAAAAAGGTAAGTATTTCTTAAGAGTATTTATGCTGAGTTTTCTAAATGAAAGGCAGGACATAAAGTGCTTTATCTGATTTTGCCTGTGAAGTAACAGCCTTCAATGATCTTATGTCTGTGTGTGAGTGTGTTTATGCATGTGGCTAGAAGTAAAGGTATTTGATTCCCTTCAGCTGGATGTTGTGAGCTGCCTGGTGTCGGGCCTGGGAACCAAGTAGCAAGCCCTCCTAATTGCTAAACTCTATCATTTATCTTTTTAAAAATCACCTGTTAGTATATTTTCCCTCAAGTTTCTTGAAACTGTATTGTCTTTTTTTTTTTTTTTTTTTGGGGGGGGGGGGTCTTCTGTTATTTTGATATAGCATTCTTCTTTTAGTTACCACAATGCTTACTAACACACCTTAATTTCTTCTTCTTTTTTTTATGTGAAAAGCTTCTCTTTTAAAGTTGACTTTGTGTATTAGATGCATTTTACTCACATAGAATGTCAGTACATTTGGAAGAGAGTGGAACAGAATCCCTTACATATTTTGAATCTGTCCTAGTCAATTCAATTGTTGCTTCTAATCTTGGCTTGCAGTTGTGCCTAAACCATTTCATGTGAGATCAGTCCTAGCTTTTTGACTTACACTGGTGTTCCTGCATATAGTGGTGTATCCCTGGTCATCCTAGAACTCAATCTATAGACCAGGTTGACCTTGAACTCAGAGATCCACCTCCCTAAGTGGATTAAAGGCATGCACTACTACTTGGCTGACCTTCACTGTTCTCTTGTTGTGTTGTGTTTTGTGTCCTCAAGTTTTTAATCTCAAAAGTCTCAAAGAGCCATTAGGGATAGCAAAAGGAGGAAGGAGGGCTTATAATTAGAAACTAACAAACACTCGGGTAACTGTACTTAACAGCAAATCATGTTACTTACTTATCTCATGAAGAGTCCATCATTGGCTGTGCCTGCCGTGATTTGAAATGATAGGACCTTTATCATCCTCATGATCCTGTTAGGCGGCATCTTGTTCATATAGCAGGGCAGTTCAGAGCCCAGAAGTTTTCTAACTTACCTCTCTCCTCTCATCTCCACACCTACTTCTGTATCATCTAAGTATAAACATTCCCTGAATTACATCACTGTTTGGCAAAGCAGCAAAGATTTTTTTTTCTTCTCTAACTTGAATTTTCTGAATTTGCCATGATTCAGGTTATATTAGTAATTATACTTATATCTAGCTTTCTTTTGTATATGGAGAATACTTGTGTTGTCCAACAAAACTTTTCCTAGGGAAACATAATTCGTGTCTATAACCCCAGTTAAGGAATCTATAACAAAATAAAGTACAGACAACCATCAAAGTCCAACATGGTAAAGATGAATTTTATTAGGGTTATTTATAGGAATTTGGGTGAGGGGTTACTTACATGGGCAAAAATAACTCAAAAGATAATTGCATTATCAAAGCCTACCCCAGCATGGGTGGGTGAAAGCTGGGAACCTGGAGCACACTGCACAGCCTACAGGCAGCTCAACATGTTGGAGAATGTCCTTTCTATGTGCCACAGTTGGTCTAAATCTTTTCTAGGCAACACAGTTGGTTTATCTTTCTTTCAGGGTAACTTCTGGTCTCTGAGTCATCTTTGCAGCTCTTCTCCTTGGAGAGTGTTCTTTGCAGCTCAGCTTTACTTTCCCTGAAAGGGATTCTCATCTTTTTATTGTTTAATCTCGCATGGAGAGTAGTGAATCTGGTCCATTTCAGGGACTTGTTAATATGTCTTTAGTAGTGCAGCTACTGAGCCTTCCTGAGGGATGTGCTTAAAAGAGTAATTTTTAACAGTGAAATGTATTGTTTTGCATTGCAGTAAGTGCTACCTGGAACATTCATTATTTCTTCATATCCATTTCCTTTGTTAGCGCACTGTGAACAGAGAGGAGCTGCTAAAACAAGCTGAGTCTGTGATGCAGGACCTTGGTAGTTCTCGGGCCATGTTAGAAATCCAGTATGAAAATGAGGTAAGTGAGTTTTGGACTCCATGATGGTGTTTTAACTTGTACTCTTGATAAAATGTCATTTGTGCATATTGGTACTGTGAAATTCTGAAAGGCAGTTGAGAAATTTATCTTAAAAAAAGATTTGGTCTACTTTCACTTTAATGATACATTTTAAGTTCTCCATTTTTCAGGGGTTTAAGTGCAAAATAAGAAATAGGATTTTTCCTGTGATAATTATGCACATATCTATATAATGTTCATGAAAGGAAAGGGTATAATAAGGATCAGTGCTGGGAAAATGAAGGAACCCACTTAAGGGAATAAATAAAACATTTGTGTTGGGGTTCTGGAGGTACGACTACATGGTTCCACAAGTAAAGGAGGAAGATACTTGCTTTGCAAGCCTGACAGCCTGAGCTTAATCCTCTGATTTTCTTCCATACATGCATCTTGACACACAAACATTTGTATTGAACATACACTCACATCATTCTTTTAACATTCCTAAACCCTTTAAGGAATTAAGATGGCTAGGGCCATCTTGAGCTACAGATTAAACCCTCATTTAGAAACAGTTTTTAATAAAGTTTTTTTTTTTTTTTTTTTTTTTTTTGGTCACCAAAATCTGTAGTTCATATTTTTAGATACCTTGAAATATACCATTCAAGATGTTTACCAGTCATTTAACAAATATCCTTAGCTTTCATACATCAATAAAGCAGGCAGGGGACTGGCTGAATTGTGGCCCAGTCCAGGTCACCTATGTCCTAAAAATGTTTTACTTCTTCCTTTCTGCGCCCCCCCTTTCTTTCTCTGCTCCCTGTTTCCCTCCTCCTTTACCCTCCCCCTTCTCTCCTATCTCTTCCCTCCCTTTAAAATAGAAAACAAACTTCTTTGAGATGGTTTTAATCTTCAAATTATAAAACCTAGGGCTGGCTCAGTGGGTAAAGGCACTTGTCACCAAGCCTACCTGAGTTTGATCCCTGAAATTCACATGATGAAAAGAGAAATGTCTAACACAAAATGTCCTTTGAAACTTGAACAGTTGGGTTACACATGCATGCATGCATTTGCATATGCAGACACACAGGTATGAATAAATAGTTATTATTAAGTAGACCTATATGAGTTCAGAACAGCTTTTTTCCTGACTTTTAGAAATAACCATTTAAGAGAAATTTTTGGGTTAATTTTGTGAAAAGGGAATTAAATGGCCCTGGAGTGCCACCTCGTGGACAACATGTGTCACTTAATGTCTAATCTTTTCCTTTCCTTCAGTGGCTGGAAATGGAGAGCAAAATAAACAAGATCCCTACCATTGTGTAGGTTTTCTTTTTAGTTTTGGAAGGCTTTTTAAAATTCATCCCCCCCCCCTCTCACATTAAACCATGTGGTCAAGAAAGATTAAAAAAGATAGAACATGTTGGGTAAAGGGGTTGTTGTAAGGTGACATTTGCCTTGGAACCAAGCCCTTGCTGTTGGGGAGAATGGTTCTAGCAGAGGACAAATGTGTTTCAACTATCATGGGATCAAGGTGGCTAGAGTTACTAGTAAGTTAGGATAGAGCAATAGGAGTCACAAGGTCAGTGATGCTGGAAGTAGGGATCATATGGGCTGTTAGGCTGTTGTAAAAGTATTGGCTGTGCTTTGAGTGAATAAGAAAGCTTTTCTTAGGAAATGTCACTGTTAATACAGTATGTAGGATATTAGAGACACTAATGTATGTGGTCACTCAGCAAGCTCAAGTAGATCCAATAAAAGAGGGTGTAGAGAATCATCAGTTTAGAAATGTTTTTAAGCCAGAACTTATATTGTATAATGGCTAGTTTTGATTGTGGGGAATAAGAAAAGCCAAAGGTGGACTACCAGATTTCTGTTGCAGCACTCACTTGTGGTTAAAGAGTGACACCCAGTTATTCGTGTGGACTTCTTTGAAAAGGGTGGGAGGTAATCAGAAAGGACTTTCTGGGTGTAAACAGTCACTGCTTTGAAAATTGGAATTAAATATGGTAGACTTTATCAACTCTTGAGATCATGTGGACATTTTAAAAAGTAAGTGTAGCAATAATAAAATAATGCCCTTTGTTCACACTGAGTTTGTGCTCACTTGAGCAGGTTGTTGTCAGATTATAATCTTGAACTGTGATACTAGTTTCTTATTGCTTGTCTTTGTTTATTATGGTCTAAACTGGTGGGATCTTGATAGAACATGAAGGAATGCTGAGTCTGTGAACCCTGCTGCAAGCATGTTGATAACTGCTGTCATGTAGACACTTTGTAAGCTGAACAGTCCCCTCTGAATGAACATACATTCATTTGTTCGTTCGTTCATTCATTCATTCATTCATTCATTCATTCATGGTTTTTTCAAGACAGAAATTTCAACTCAGAAATTCACCTGCCTCTGCCTCCCAATTGCTGGGACTAAAGGCATGTACCACTAATGCCCAGCTGAATTTTATTCTTAAATAGCAAAGCCTAGTCTCCAAACTAAACTAGTGGACCAGATGTTCCAGCCCCCATCTCCACTACCTTGATGGTGTGCTCTTGCACACATGTGCATGTGTGTGACACTGATAATTATCTTGGGGTTCCAGTGTGCCCTTGGACTTCAATGACCACTGACTAATCCTTCTGGTTGCTGACATGAATTCAGGCCTTGAATTTTATTACCCCTTGCATTCCTATTAAATGTGTGTTAAACTCTATGGAGATTCAAAGAGATTAAAATAATTCTCCATTTAAAACTTGGAAGTATGTAATGGAATAGTGTTAAAACCCCAAAATGGCATATGAAAGAGTCAAACTAATTGAAGGAGATTGGGAGGTGTCTCCTGAGAATGTGGAACTTGAGTTGTTTTGGGGATGATCATTCCTTTAAAGAGAAAAATAAGCATATATAAATAGTACCATGTTGTTCACTAAAGGAAGCATTTATGCTTGATGCAGGAATTTTGAGCCATACAATTGAAATTGAGTCTAGAGGAGATGATAAAGGGTTTCCCATGCTCAAGACTCAGGGAATGTCTATTCTGGAAAACAGTCTTGTGCTTCCTGGCAAACACTTGTGTGAGTGTACAAGTTACCAAGAGGTTGTCAGGAAAAAAAAAAAAAAAAAAATCAATTTCTAAAATGATTCTTTTATTTTTTTTTCTAGGTTGGTACAGGTCTTGGGCCGACACTGGAGTTTTATGCACTTGTTTCTCAGGAACTACAGAGGGCAGATTTGGGTCTCTGGAGAGGTGAAGAAGTAACTCTTAGCAACCCAAAAGGTAATGTGCAGCTGTGAGTTGGTCAATTTGTATTACTCAGATCAGGTAAGGGGGCCTCTCCATTCTGGTTAGTCTCTGCTGGGGCTGTGTTCTTTGCCTTTCATTTCTTTTTGCCTCTATTTTCTCATTTATCCAGTGGGAAAGCTTTCTAGTTTAGAGGCTCTTGATTCAGTTTTGTAAATACTGAATATTGTAATGTTCTTAGTTACCAGGTTTTGTTTTGTTTGTTTGGAAAACTTCATCTGAAGTTCAGTGACTTGTTTGTTTTACAGGAAGCCAAGAAGGGACCAAGTATATTCAAAACCTCCAGGGCCTGTTTGCGCTTCCCTTTGGTAGGACAGCTAAGCCAGCTCATATCGCAAAGGTTAAGATGAAGTTTCGCTTCTTAGGAAAATTAATGGCTAAGGCTATCATGGATTTCAGATTGGTAAGTTTAGGGCTGTTTTCTTATCTATATAATTTTGTGCAATGTTCTGTGAAAGTACCTCAATCCCCTGTGCTCAATGCTGTGTTTCAGAGCAGTGCTGCTCTGATTTCATTGTGAGCACAAAGTGCTGGAGCATTTTGTTTGAAATGCCAGTTCTGTTTCTGTATCACATGTGTAAGGCTGTCCTGTGTCCGACATGACAGCACCTAGCCCCTAATTTTTTGTGTAGCATTCCGTTAGTAGCCAGGGCTGAGTCAGGCAACATAAAGATGGCATTAATTGTACTTTTGCCAGTATTCAATTTGGCGTTTTTAATTCAAAAAGAAAGCCATGTATGTGCATTATAGGTAAACTCACTGAATTTCTGTTTTAATGCTGCTATGAAAATAAACTAAGTGATCAATATTTATGGAGGCTGAATATTTCTGGACTTTTTCTTCATTTCCTCTTATCATATTTTCTCAGGTAATTTATCAGTATGATAAATTTGCTACCCCCACAAGTTTACATTCTTTTTAAACAGGTTATACAGCTTACCAGTTAGTTCAGAAGTTTCATTCATTTTACTTTTTTACTTTAAGTAAGTTCTTCATTTTCCCTTCTCTGATTTCAGAATATTAAATATGTAAGTATAATTATGTTGAGTTTACTTGGTTCAAAATAAAGTAAAATTCTACTGATGAACACTTTAGTGTTTCAGAGATACTGATATAAAATACTTTATGGACATTGTATGTTCGTCATTGGTGGGTTTGTGTGTGTGTTATGCTTAAATAGATTCTTTTTTTTTAATAGTTTATTTTTATGAATATTGATTGGTGTTTCACTTGTATGTATGCCTGTATAAGGATATCCGATTCCGCTGTTGCTAGAGTTAACAGACAGTTGCATACTATCATACGGGTGCTGGGAATTGAACCTCTCCTCTGGAAGAGCAGCCAATGTTCTTAACCACAGAACCATTTCTCCATCCCACTTAAATAGGTTCTTTAGCATTCTAAAATGTTGACAGAGATTTGGGTCCAGTTTGGCTGTCAATTTTTAGTAGAGAGAGAAAGAATTTCTATTTTTTTCTTTTCCTTCTAGAGTATTTGTTTTCAAATGACATCTTATAAAGTGCTTTTTACAGGTAGTTATGACAAAGTATGTTGCTTGTTCCCTTTCAGGTGGACCTTCCCCTTGGCCTGCCTTTTTATAAGTGGATGCTGAGGCAGGAAACTTCACTGACATCTCATGATTTATTTGATATTGATCCTGTTGTAGCCAGATCAGTATATCACCTAGAAGATATTGTTAGACAGAAGAAAAGACTGGAGCAGGACAAATCCCAGGTAGGTCTAGATGAGATGTCAGAGGGTACAGTAAGTTCTTATTCTTCTACAATCATGAGCTTCTTAAGTGGTTTGTATTTGACCTGGTTAATACTTAATTTTTTAGTTAAAAAATTATTTCTCTTTATGGGTGTTTTGTCTGCATGTATGTTTGTGTACAACTTTCATGTGGTGCCCTCCAAAGCCAGAAGAAGACATCAGATTTCCCTTGCATTTGCCTGCTGCCACATGGACCTAGGAATTGAACCTAGGCCCTCTGAAAGATCAACAAGTGCTCTTAAGCACTGAGCCATCTCTCTATCCCAGCAATATTTCATTTTAATAGACATGTTTAATATATCTTTTAAACTAAGAGAAGCACGATTTCTCAGTGTCCCCTCTTTGATCTCTAATAACAGCAAGTGGACATCTTGATTTCCAAATTAAATATTCTATCTTAAATTGTAGATAATCAGATATCTTCTCAGTAATTCTTCAGAAAAGTACTTCTCTATTTCTCTGTCTCCTTCTTCCTCTTCACCACAGATTGTGTTTGCATTGTGAATTTATACTACTACACCTAGCTTGGAAATAGTTCTTAATGGTTGTTGCCAAGCTGTAGTTATACAGTTCAAATGTATAGCATTTAAAACTAGCATGTATGAATTGCTAGACTCACTATCCAACATTATTAATCTAGAAAAGTTCATGGATGCCTACTCTTTGAGGTTTTTCTTTCATCTGTCAGATAATGTGGAGCTACATATCATTACTGTCTTTTCAAATGTGTGTTACCATCTCTTTAGGCTCAATCTGTGATTATATGCATATGGGTATTAGATAGCAACTCACTTTATAATTTATTTATATTTATGTGTATATATGACTATATGTAAGTTGGTATACTGCCTGAGTGCCTGGTGTCTAAAGAGGCCAGAAGAGAGCATCAGGTCTCCTATAACTGTTACAGATGACTATGTAATCTGGGAGTTGGGATAACTTTAGTCTGTGACAGGCTGTTTAGTGACAAGTTGGCTTTATTTTTTAAAAACTTGTGTACAAAATCATAGGTTTCTTAAGAATTTTCCATATGCATCATTGTACTTTGCACATTTTTTTTCCCTCATCACTTCCCCCCACTCCATTAACTTTCTTCCCCCAAGGTAGTGCCCTTTCTGCTGTCATGTTTTATGTATCTGTATAGGCAGGTGTGCAAATGTTCTGTCTAGAGAGCCCATAAAACAAACCGTTAGTATTTCCTATGTCCCTCTCCCCCATATGCTCATATCCTCCATAATCCCATCTGCTTTTCTGAAGGACAATTTGAGAGCTTCCTAATAATTGACATTAACTAAATGCCTTCATTTTCAGGACTTAAATTTTTGTGTTATTGATCTTTAATGATTAAAAAAAAGCATTTTATGTAGCATATAAACAATCCTCTGGGTTTGATAGGGCTTGGCTCAGCTTTCTTAGAAGGCAGTACAAAGGTGTGCTTTACGCATGAGCCTTACAGGGGATGGGAAAAGTTTATTGCCATTACTAGGTAGTACACAGTCTATAATTTTCCAAATTATATACACTCTTAGGTATACAGTTAGGTTCATCGATGCTGGCCTAGAATTAAAGGTTAATAAAAATGCATAAGGACTTTCTCTAATATGTGATATGAATGTGTTTACAAGGAGCAACTACTCAGTATGGAATATACTCCAGCAATCTTGTTTCTCTCCACAAACATAATTGTGTTCTGAGGTATTATAATGATTTCTTTTGTGACTCCAGTAACTTTTAATATGTAAAATATGACAAAAAAATCTCTTTAACTAGAAACTAAAGTAACCATCAGTTGTTTATAGGATTATGTTTTATTTTTGTAAAAACAATATAATTTTGTATGAATTTTGTGCTCTTCTCCCTCCATTAAAAGACCAAAGAAAGTCTGCAGTATGCGTTGGAAACTCTTACAATGAATGGCTGCTCTGTGGAAGATCTGGGATTGGACTTTACACTGCCGGGGTTTCCCAACATTGAACTGAAGAAAGGAGGGAAGGATATACCAGTCACTATCCATAATTTAGAGGAATACCTGAGAGTATGTATTGTCTGTTTTCTATGGGCCAGGAGCCATAGGAATTTATCTGCTGTGTTTTTATGAGGAGGGGATTTAGGTTGGTAGAACTTGGTCATTTAGCTTCTGCCTATGTGGACCTTTGCTAAAGACTTTGCACATCCCTGGGACCACTCTTGGAGGCCCTTTCAGCCTTTGTAAGCTTCTGTGCATTTTGTAGAGAACACACAAATATATTGTGCCAAAACAACAACAAGAAACCCTAAGAAGTTAACTTTCTCCACACTTTGAAAATACACAAAAATTCTAAGCATAGGAGATGAGACCTGTGGGAAGACACATGGACTTTGTGGATCACTGAAAGACAATCTTCTACCCAGTCTCATAACCTGTTATCAAAAACTGCATGTTGAGTAGGTCTATTTTAGGATGACCCTCAACATTGTGAGCTCTGTCTGCTATTCACCTCAAGGGTGACTTGGAAAAGTAACCTTAAATTTTATCTTTTGTTGCTTCAAAGGACACAGTGTATTTCCTTAGCTGCTGATCACACATGAAGGCTTCATCATGATAGTGCAGCATTGCATAAATGCCCTTTATCTTCTCTCAGACTGGGAGGAACTCTAAGGCTGGAAGGTGCACTTTGCATCCCTTTACTCTGCAGAAAACATGTTTGTGTAAAAACAGTTCTCTCTCAGTACCTCACGTAAGCTTATGTAGACCCAATCTTTTAAGCTTGATTGAATACCATGCATTACACATTTTTCTCCTATAAGAGAGAGCAGGCATCACTTGTTTGAACAGCATTTCTGCTCTTGTTTTAGGCCAGATGCCTTGGCAGAATTGTTTTTTAAAACACCAACATAGGCACACATATGCACACTTTGTTTGTTGTGATCACTACAAAGTGCATTTACAGCTGTAGACTTAAGGTTGCTAAATGTAGGAGAAGCTATTTCTTATTGCATGAAAAAGTTAAAAGCTATATCTTTTCATTACCATTGTTTAAAACTTTGCTTGGATTCCTGATATGGGCTAAAAAGAACATTGGATTCAGGCTAGAATACTCACTTTGAAACCTTGACCTTTCTTAAAATATTGTGTGGGACTTTAGAGCCTCTGAAAAACTTCAGCTCTGGTTTCTTTGTTTTCTTTAAAAGGAGGTAGTATCCAAGATCCTCAGCTTTAAGAGCAGTTCTTTGACTCAAGTAGTTCCTTTTAATAGCTAATCAGACTATCTTGCTGTATTACCTGTTTCTTGCACTGTTCTTGGGAAGCTGCTTTTCCATCTTACTAACAAGTAATGTGCAAACATTCATCCATACCTTTGCTTTTCTAAAAGTACTTTATAATTGTTTTAAAATAGTTGTTAGTAGTCAAGTGTCTGTACTGGCCTGCTCTTTGGGTTCTGACATGATATGCCCTCAGCTGCAGCCACTAACAATACCACCTGTGCACATTCACCATGCTCCCTTTTAAAAGGGCCCTGCCCACCTCCTATCCCCTCTGCCCACTTCCCCTTGTCCCCAGGGTCCAGTCTCTGTCCCCTTCTCTGCCCCCTCTCTCGTTTTCCAATAAACCTCCTTTGTGAGTCCTGTTGTATGGTGTGACTTCAAGTTGTTTTTTAAATTACAGCAATAGTAATACTTTTGTCTTAATCTGAATATTTTGTGTACCAGTAAATTAAACAGGGCTACTAGGGACTGAGTACATTTAGAGATGCTTTTTCTTACTCTCAGATTTTGTTGTCTTGCATGTCCAAGCTGTATTTGCTTAAAGATACACACACTGCAGAGGATGGTTCTCAGAACTTCACAGGATTTAAAAAAAGTCAACACTCCACATTAAAAATATGGCTGGTTGCTAATTAAAGGGTCTTGAAATGTTACTCTTTAATTCCAGTAACATTTTAACCTCTTCATTGTCTTTGGCTTTTGGTAAGACAATGTGATTCTCTTCTGGTGTGAGGGTTTTCTATGAATGAAGTTTTACAACAGTGTAGAAATGTATGTGGCAGTTTTGACACTGTCTTACAGGTCAATCCCCAAAATAGAAGTTTACCTGCCTGACCTTTTACTGATGTGGTTTTCTTTGAGATAGTCTGGAGATGTAATAACTGTGTTTGTGTGGTTTCTCTGTGTCCTTGCTGTCCTAGAACTCACTCTGTGGACCAGCCTGCTGCCCTTGAACTCAGAGGATATGCCTGCCTCTGCCTCCCCAGTGCTGTGATTAAAGAAGTGCTCAACCTCCACCTGGCTTAACAACATTTTTTTAGTTTTAGTTTTTAAAGTGATTCCAGAAGGTCATTTACTATTACATATTAAATAGTAAGTAGATTTGGAACTTTGTGGAATTTTAAAAATGGCTTCTTTTTTGCAGTTGGTGATATTCTGGGCACTAAACGAAGGTGTTTCTAGGCAGTTTGACTCGTTCAGAGATGGATTTGAATCCGTTTTCCCACTCAGTCATCTTCAGTACTTCTACCCAGAAGAAGTGAGTAGCTCACATCTATCTAAAAGACACAAATCATTTCTATCTGTGTAAATCATAGCAGGATAGTTTACCTTATTGCTTCAAATCTTTATTTACTATTCTACAACATTTTGGAGTAAGAGAGTGGAGTTCAGGGAAGGCCAAAGAGATTTTCTGATTAAGAAAGTTTGTTCAATATGGATGTTGGGGGTGGTATAGGATCCTTGTGTGAAAGTAAATTGTAGCATCAGCATTCTAGCCCAAACCACCATGCTGCTCAGTGTGAAAGGGACTTGGGGTAGCACTCTACAGTCTATGTTCCTGGACAGTCACCAGGTATGTGGGTGTTTCTTTGCTAATTCTTTATCCTTATTTCATCTCAAAGCTGGATCAGCTCCTGTGCGGCAGTAAAGCAGACACTTGGGATGCAAAGACATTGATGGAATGCTGCAGGCCTGATCATGGGTATACTCATGACAGGTAAGTATGGGCTCTGAAGTTTTTCAGTTCATAGTTAGGGATTTAGAGGAGGAGGGGTCAACTCATCAAAGTTTATGGGACATTTTTCCTAGACTAGCATATTGTTAAAGTTGTTCCATTTGGATTTCAGCTATTACAACAAAATAAACTTTTAAAGTGTTGCAATGAGAATTCATATGTAACCATATCTTAAAATAGATGTCATTATTAATGATTATAAGTGAGGCGTGGTATATTGACGTAGTATTTTAACACAAAATAATTCTGTTCTACTTCTTGTTTTAGTCGGGCTGTGAAGTTCTTGTTTGAGATTCTCAGTAGTTTTGATAATGAACAGCAGAGGTTATTTCTCCAGTTTGTGACTGGTAGCCCACGATTGCCGGTTGGAGGTGGGTAGTATTTGTGCTTAGTTTTTATTCTAACTGTGAGCGAATCATCCATTACTGGGGGTACAGTGTCTCTTAGTTACTACAATACCATTATGTTCCTAAGCTGCTTAGGAATATGTGAAGAAATACTGGCAGGGAAATTGAGACTGCTTTAAACATACACAGTCACTAATATATAAGAATGTTGCTTAGGTAAATTTGCAAACACTGTAGAATTTTTAAATTCTTAGTTGACTTAATCAAGAATAGATTCTAAAAATTAAGTTGAATGAGTCTGCTTTGCTTGTTTGGATATTTTAATTTTTATTTTGTATATGAATGCTTTGCTTGTCATGTTTGTCTGAGGCCAGAAGAGGGCGTTGGATCCTTCTTGGGCTGGAGTTACAGATGCCTGTCAGCCACCCTGTAGGTGCTGGCAATTGAGCCTGGGGCATCTGGAAGAGTGGCCAATGCTCTTAGTCAGTGAGACATCATTAGCTAAGAGAGAGGAGTACTTTGTTTGGCAGTTTAACACTACAATAAATCAGTGATGTGTCTTGTGATAGTAATGATATTTTTTAAAATGAACCAAATTTCTTGAACTCTTTTTCTCTTAATTAGGGTTCCGGAGTTTAAATCCACCTCTGACAATTGTGCGGAAGACATTTGAATCAACAGAAAACCCAGATGACTTCTTACCCTCTGTAATGACTTGTGTGAACTATCTTAAGTTGCCGGACTATTCGAGCATTGAGATAATGCGTGACAAACTGTTGATAGCAGCAAGAGAAGGCCAACAGTCGTTCCATCTTTCCTGATCACAACAAGAAATCAGTGTCTGCCTATTACAGCAAAAGAAAACAAATCATGATTTCTTTTCTATGTGTCAACTGAGTCAAGGAAACATGTTCCTCCTTCTTGTTGTAGGAAAGTGGCTTGCAGATTATAATTCATAATGGCCCCGTGGACTTCAGTGATCAGGCCCTAAAGCGTTGTTGTGATGAGGTTTCTTTAGCAAGTTCTTGTTTAAATTATCATTTATTTGATGAGTGAAGTTTTTAACTTGCTTTGCTGTGTGAAATTTCAAAGGGATGTTTTTTTCAGGCTGGAACAATAAATGTCGCTGTGCAGTTTAATTCTGGGCTGTGTGTATCCATCTAGCTAAGTTTGCAGTATGTTTCTTCCAAAGACAACTCTTGTACATAAGTACAGACATTAAACTCATGTGTATTTGACAACTCTAGTCTAGTAGATGGGTTCTGTGTGTTTTCCACCTCTAATTTTCTTTTGTTGCCTGTGCAGTTCACAGGTTTTGTTTTGTTTTGTCTTTGTTTTGTTTTTAAATAATACAACATGAACAGTTAAGACATTTTCATTAGCCCTGAGCCTTGCCATTCTGGTTCTTTCAAATTAAGATAAAATTTAGAATTCATTGAATTGAAATATATTCTCAATATAATTCAGCCTTTGTAACTACTAGGTAGGTAGGCTTTTCTTATAGCTTAGTTTTAATATAGTTACAGAGCACTCCTGGCTTTTTGCCAAGTGATACACTAGGTCTGTTTACATGGCATTCCCATCATCCTCAGCTAAAGGAGGAAGGAAAGCGTATTCATTTTTCTGTGTAGGTTAAAAGGTCCACAGCTTGAGCTGGCCAGTATTTATCCTGTGGCCAGACCATTTTAAATTGATGTAAAGTTTTAGATTAATTACTTTTCATTCCATATTGGAGTTCAAAAGATTTTTTTTTCCCCCTTCCCTTACTCCTGTTTTAAGTTTCTGTTGTCTTTGTCTCACTCTCTCGTCTTCTCCCAGTTAATTGCGGACAAACCGTTCAGCCTTTGTCTCCACACAGATCAAAGCACCTGTAAACAATGCTGTCCATTTGTTTGTGTGCTCATTTCTCAGATCTGCAATAATCCTTCAGGTTAATGTTTTTACCTAAAAATAAAATAAGTTTGCTTCACCGTTTTTGTTTATAGTTCTGTGCTGTACACATGCCCACCTGTCTAAGATAAGCAGTATGGTTACATTTCAGTTCAAGTAAGTTGTGTGGCCACAAGTCCAGCCATGGTGGGTCTTACAGCTTCTTGAACATACAATGTGGAAAGAAAATGGGAACTGATCTGTATCTTTGTAAGGCTCAAATGAAGACTAAAAAATTTGAACTCTGCCTTCATCTCCTTCAAAGTGAGATGCACCTTTTTTTTTTTTTTTTAACTGAACTTTGAAGAAACTACTGTGCTCTCTTGACATAGAGCCACCTCCTTTATCCCATTGCCCCAAGGGAAGGTAGTAGCTTAGTTTACTACTGTAACTCATTCTTACACTGACCTTGCCTTATGTGGAAACATCCCCTGCTGTCAGAAATCTCTTGACAGTTTGCCCAGTCAGTGTGGAGGAGTTGGGGCCAGGAAGTCTCTGCTCACAGAGGCTTGCAAATGAGCAATGTTACCTGGAGAGGGGAAGGAGTTGGGTTCTGCAGCTTCAGCCTGTTGTCCAGAAGATCTGGGCCCCTTTGTTTCTAGTTCTGGTGTTTTACAAACTGAGCACAAAGATTTTGTGTGAACACAGTATTTTATTCCTCACTTTTTAAAGAGCTGTTAAAATGTAGACATCTGTACAAAACAAAGTGATGTTTCATATTAAAGTAATCTGTATTTGCATTTTACACCTGTGGTGCTGGCAGATTTGGCTTCATTGATTCCGTGCATCAACTGAATGCTAATGATGGTTCTGACTGCAATGTTTCAGAGCCCCAAATCATTGCAAAGCTTCCAGTCATCAGCTTTCTTCCCCAGTACATGAGACCAGTGGTTTCTTAGGGTCAGGAAGACCACATTTTGAAGCACTCTAAGCAAAGGCCTTAATTTTGCACACTAGGGGAATGTATACTTGGTTTGCTGTGCTCCAGGGACCAGCAAGCACCATTGGTATGCTTTTAAACACAGCCAAGTGCACTGTCAGGGTATTAACAGAACCTCTTACTTGTCCTAGGTGAGTAGACTGACTGTATAGAGGTCTAGGTGGCAGTAGGTGGTGTGGCCCAGCCCAGCAAAAGCATATCATACATCACCAGCACTGGGAGAGCAGTGAGTGGTTCTGCTTCTGCTTGTTGTCAAGCTGGGCATACCTCATGAGGAGTGGTACAGCCGAGAGCTGACTACCTGTTCTGAGAGTGATTTCCTTGGGCATCTTACGCATGAAGGCCAAGGACTAGAGAACCAGCTTCTGCATCTCACAGACAGGTTGTCCCCACCCCCAGATCTTCCTATACCCACTCCCCACAGCACTGCAGCTATGCCTTTTTTTTTTTTTTTTTTTTTTATTGTGGGTGCTGGTAACCTAAACTAGGTCCTCATGCTTAGGGCTCAAATACTCAACCCACCAAGCCATTTCCAAGTCCATCACCAGCGGATTGAGGTCACCTTGTTTTGCGATTTTTTTTTTTCCCCCTCTTTTTTTAACATTAAGTACAAGTTGAAGTAGGATGGACACCATTATCCCAAGAAACAAGTGCAACTGGTTGGGAGGAAATGTGTACAAGTGGCCTCCATTTGTTTCTTTTATACTTTTTCTGACCCATTTTGTTTTCCCTGTTGTAATGAGAATATTGTCTTGAACTGCCGTGCTCTGTATGATTCTTTGAAAAGTGGTGTTATATAGGTGTTAGGTTTGAATTGCTGTAGCTGGTATCCACAGTAAGTAACCTGGTGACAGGTCACTGGAAAGTTCCAGTTACCCAAACATTAATACCAGGCAACTCATAGCACTTAACTACGTCAAAAAATTGGTATATGCCAAGGAGTTCAGATGAACAAATATTGGCAAGAAGAAATTCCTTAACATTTACAGAGTTGTTCTCCAATAATGGAAGAGGGAGATTTATTTTTACTACAAATGGACTCACAACCAAATCGATAATCAACTGCTGATCTCTGTAAAGTGTGTTCTTTTTTGATCTGAAACATTTATATGAACTGCTGGAATAATGAAACTTCAGACTACAATGTGTATGTAAAATTGCATCAATGCCCTGACTCCTCTGACTATATTTTTAATAAATGGCATTATCCTTCATGGTTAGTTTTGTTACATTATGTACAATCAGATGGTGTTTTCTGACAGGTGGTGTGCAGAAGGTTTCTTTGAAAATCTGCTTCTGGTAAGTATCAGTGATCGTAACAATATTGGAGGTAGGTTGCCTAGAACACCAGGAGACTGCCAGCTCAGATGTGGAACAAGGTGTTCATGTACTTGGTGAATTCTGCCTTTGTAGTTGAGAAACACTTAAATGTGCAGAGATAATAGTGTCTTGATGGCAGAAGTCCTGAAGTCTCTGTTCTTGTCTGTCATGGCTGGCTGTTCTATCCATGACAAATGTTAACATCAGTCTATTCCTGAAGGGGGGGGGGGCGCTAGCAAAAACGAGTGGATTTAAACACATATTTGTGTATTGTCTTGGTATTACTACCTAGGGGTGAAAGCTCCTTTTTTTTTTTTATAAAAAAGGCTGTCATAGTTGCTAGGTTCTGTTAAATAGTTTGCAATGTGAAGCTGTACTTCCAGCTCTGCTTGGGGACTGGGGAGCAGCACCTTGGGGTTGAAGTAGTTCTGGGAATTGGTATCTGAATGTTAATGGACTTTGTAGATTTAATTTTAGTTTTTGGTTATGTATATGTGTATGCATTTGCGCTCATGAGCTATAGGAACACAAGAGGCCACAGGTGTCAGATTTCTCTGGGGCTGGAGTCATTAGGTGATTGTGGATGCCAGGAATCAAACTGGGTTCTCTGCAAGAACAGTATGTGCTCTTAAATCTATCCAACATTGACCTTCACGTTTTACCTTTTTCTCCTCCCCTCTTCCCATCCACCTTCCCCCATGTCCCCCATGATCTCAATTTAACTCAGGAGATGTTATATGTATGTCTCTCTTAGGTTCCTCTTTGTTGCCTATGTTCTCTGGGGCCAGCAATGTCCATTTAAATCTTAATGGCAGTTGTTGGGCCAGTATTCAATGGACAGCATAGTATTCCCTTTGATACCACTATTCAAGTGAGCCAGGTGCAGGGTGGATAGCTGTGCAGGTCTCATGCCCCTCTCTCTGGAATCTTGTGCTGTTCTTGAGTAAGTCCTGGCCAGATACAGAAACTTGAGGTTTATCCAAATCCCTGTTAAGTTCTCCCAATTTATGTAAGAAAGGTTGAGACATCAGTGCCACTGAGCGATGCTTGCCTTCCCAAGGGGGAATCTGCAAAAGAACTCCCCAGATGTATACTTGGTCCTCAAAACTTGGCCACTGCAACTGAAGTTACCTTGATGTGGTTAAATTAAGGGGGTTGGTTGTGCTGAATGCTTTAGCAGCGCTCCATTGCCTTTTCTAGCAGTTCTTTGCCTGAAATGTTGTCATTACAGTCTTCCTGGCCATGGTACCTCCTTTCCTTCAGTATTTAGTTGCTTTTCTCATTGCTTTGACAAAATGCCTGGCCAAAGCAATTTAGGAAGGAAGGATTTGTTTTGGTTTAAGAAGAGCTGTAGTCCATCATGGTGCGGCAAGTGGAAGAAGCTTCAGGAGAAAAACTTTCACATCGGGCTGAGGACCTTGACTCAAGTGTTCAGAGGCTGTGATTTGTATAGAATATTGAACTAATGCTCACCCCCAGCATTGTTGGAATGATTGAGTAAAATGAGCTCAATTGCCTTTTCCATAGTTCTTGGTTTATGTGGTTGGTAATATTCTTTTAAATTCCCAACATATGGCTAGCATAAAAATATTAATGATTGAATCTTTAACATTCTCCCCACATGTTATTTTTCTTGTCATACATATAGCCAGGTGTAGTGGTATATCCTTATAGTCCTAGTGCTAAGGAGGATATGGCAGGTTGATTTCAAGTTTGAGGCCTATTTAGGTTAACAAGGACAACATAATTGATCTATACATGACAACGCTGTGGTTTTAAAGCTTGTGTTCTGTCATAAGATTTGCAAAGATTATGCTTTCCGAACACTAATTGATAGCAGTTAAGAGCACTTGCTGAGTATGCATGAGTTGGATCCCAACACCCATGTAAGACACCGAGAATCTTCATGCACCTGCCCGTAGCTCCATATTTGAGGAAGTTTGAATCAGGAGGATTGCTGGGGCTTGCTGGCCCCTGGAACTGGAGTTATTGATGGTTGTGAGCCTCCATGTGGACCCCAGGAACTTAAATCTAGGTTCTCAGGGTAGCAAGTGTTCTTAATGGATGGATATCTCTCTGTCACTTTCTTAAAAGTCTCAAACTTGGCAGGTGAATTGCAGACAGATATAGGTGGTGCCTAGAGACGCCGGAGGGGAGAGAGAATAAACATGCCACTTCATCACTTCCATGGCCTATAAGGTCTGTTTAATATTTGAGAAGCGTGTTTAAATATTCAGAGATAACTTCTCTGTGTGAATCACTTAAGCCAGAGAGAAGCTATTCTGTTAAAGGGTTTGGTTACAGTTGGAGTTTCAGGTTAATGACACTACTGGGTTGTATAGGTCTTGTTCTTTCTGATCACATCAGTTCTGAAAGGTGTGTGTAAGTGTTCTCAGGTGTAATTTGATCTACCCTGGCTCCTATGCTCTTCAGTGGTTTCTACAATTGGTAGAATAGCAGCTACCCCCCCAGTTGGTCTAATTTAATTGTTGAAAGGATGTGGATGTGTTTGGAGCAGATGGGTATTGGATTGCACTCTCTGAATGCTGTCCCATGGAGCTCTTGAAGTCTCAGCTGTCATCTGACCTGGAGCCTTGTGTTACAGATGAAAAGAGAAGTCAATGAAAGTTCCAGGACCTGTGTGGGCTGGTGTGAGTGACAGAACCATGGCCAGAATGTAAACGTGGCCTAGGTTCTCTCCACATTACCTAGATATCTAGGAGACTGAGGCACCAACCCTCCTCCTCCTTTCCCATTCATTGTCAAGTGAGTTCTCAGTCC